GAATGCGCGGCCCCCGCGACCACTTCCAGTCGGCTTCCCGGTATCAACCGGTGAGCGGCCTCGATCACGTTCGGCGGAAATATCCGGTCTTCCTCTCCCACCACCAACAGCGTCGGCACGGTGAACCCGGCCAAGTCAGCTGCCTGCGGCCCTGCCGGGTTCCGGAACAGCCCGGATACGATGCTCGCTGGCATGGGAGGATTCATCCTGCCGATTGATCCAAACAGGAACGCCAGTTCCGGTTGGCTTTCGATAAAACCGTCGCTGAGCGCCCGGCGCAAAGGGTCTTCCGGCGGATGCACGTCCTCCAGCAGCGACACTACCGACGGGTCGCCGATTCCTCCGGTCGTGTCCGCCAGCACCAGTCCCGCTACCCGCCCTGGTTGCGCCAGCGCGAACCCGAGGCTGGTGACTCCTCCCATGGACTGCGCCACCAGCACCGCCCGGTCGATCCCCAGGTGATCCAGAAGCGCTTCCAGGTCGGACACGAATGTTGCCGGTTCCGGTGGTCCGCCCGCTCCCGGCGTCAGTCCCCACCCACGGTGGTCAAACGTCACGCAGCGATATGCGTGCTGGAATGCCGGAACTTGCCGCCACCAGCTCAGGTGGCTTCCGCCCCGACCGTGGGCGAAGACGAGCGCCGGACCCTCGCCGTGGCTTTCGTAAAACATCTGAGTCCCGTTGATCTCTGCGTAAGGCATGTGGCGCCTCCTGGCTGTCCGTCATCTCGCTGTCGCAACGTGGCTTCGGTACGACGTCGTGAAACTACACTGACCATTGCTCGCGGCGGTAAGCAGCATCCCAGAACATGAACTCATACCGGCTGCTCGCTATGAACGCGTATCGCATCGCTTCCCGCTCTTGCTCTCCGACCCGTTCGGCCATCTCGTCCACGAAGCCCGTCCACGCGTCCACGCTCGACTGCAGGAACCCTTCCACGTAAAACCGCGTCCATTGCCCGTATAACGGGTGTTCCGACTGTCCCACTTCGTCCTTCAACAGGTGGTACGTCCAGGGACACGGCAGCAGCGCCGCCGCCGTCGGACCCAGCCCGTACATCCCCGCTGTCACCAGCATGTGGTTCACGTAGGCCGTGTTCGTCGGTGACCGGGTCGTGCCCTCCACCATCTCCATCGTCAGCCCTGCCGCTTCTATCAGCAGGTGGTGCAACGGCCGCTCCACCGGGGTCATTACCCGGTGCGCCAAATCCTGCAGCAGTTCCGTATCCGGGGCCTTCGCCAGCGTCATTGCTACGGCCCTGCCGAACCCCTCCAGGTAGTGGTAGTCCTGCCCCAGATAGTATTGGAAAGTTTCCAGAGGCAGCGTGCCGTCCTTTATCTCACGTAGGAAGGGGTGCCGGAAAATCGCTTCCCAAATTGGTCCTGCCTCCGCTCGCAATTGCTCACTGAATCCTGCCATGCCGTTTCCCCTCCTGTGAACGCTGCCTCGTTTGCTCCGCGCTCCGTCGGAGCTACGGTTGTCGAGGCTGCTAAAAAGACTCGTTGATCAGCACCAGCTCCGCGTAGGAGGCGTAGTGGCATCCGAACCCCGCTCCCGCTTCCCGGGCGTGTGCCGTCAGAAACTCGAAAGGACTGTTCCCCACGTCACCCAGGTTCTCCAGGTACGCCTTGTGTTCCCGTAGCGATGCCAGTCCCGTCTCCCAGTGTTCCGACACGTCCACTCCGTGCGTCGGCGCCGTGGAGCCAAACACCACCACAAACCGCACTGCGTTCCATGGTTCCAGCCCTTCGTCCAGCAACTCCGGGAAGATCCAGCGGTTCCCCGCGTCTCGCGCGGCGTCGAACACCGCCAGGCCCACCCAGCGATGGTCTGCCATGTTCAAGTGCCCGCTGAAAAATTGCAGGTGATGGTTGATGGTGATAATCACGTCCGGCTGATGCTTGCGGATCGCCCGACTCAGGTCGCGCCGCAGCGGCAATCCGTACTCTATCACCCCGTCCGTGTGGTCCAGAAAATCCACCGTGTCCACGCCGACAACTCGAGCGGCGTTGATCTCCTCCTGCGACCGCAGCAGCGCCACTTCCCCCGGGCTCATCCCGTCGATTCCCGCTTCGCCCCGGCTGACCATAACATACGTTAAGCGTTTGCCTTGCGCCGTCCACTTGGCGATTGCCGCCGCCGCTCCGTACTCCAGGTCGTCCGGGTGGGCCACTATCGCCAGTCCGGTTTGCCAGTTCTCGGGCACCGGCACGTTCGGCGCATCACGCTGCTGCATAAATCCTCCCTGATGTTCCTATTGCCGCGGCTCTACGATTGGACCCGCGGCGCTCTGCACCCACACGAGGTGTGTGGCATGGTGATCGTACCGGTCAGAGCAGACGCGGGCTCGGCGAGGTAACCACCGCCTCCGCCGTCGCCACCCGGTAGTCGTCCGCGTCCCGAACCGACATGACCACTCGCCATGTCCGAACGCCGTCCGCGTTCGTGTCATGGCCCACCACTACTCCGTCGCAACGCAACTGCGTGCCCGGCAATACCGTGCGGTGATAGGCGATCGACAGCCTACCTCCCCACCGAAAATCCTCGCCGAAATCGGCCCCCAGAAGGCATTCCAGCCATCCCGCAGTGACCGCGGTCAGGCCATTGCCATCTCCCGGCATTTCGAACCCTGCCAACCCATGCGACAACTTGCGGTACTCCGTCAATCCATCTGACCCCCGCACGCGCAATTGCCCGAGGCGGCAACTGTCGCCGGCTCGGCAGGAAGCCAGGCGCCGGCCGCGCGACGGTTCCTGAATCGTTTCAACGAGTTCCTGGGGATGGGTGTATGCATGGCCCACTTCGAAAGCGGCTTCTGACCGCAGGATCTCCGTGCCGATCTCGTCAACCGCAAAAGCCGCAGCTTTCACCCATGGCCTGCCGCATTTCTGCCGCAATTCCCGCACCCATCCTCCGACCTGGATTCGTCGCCCCGTTATTGGCGGTCGCAAAAAATCCAGCCGTTGCCAGACCGTGGTCAGCGTCTCACCCGTCTCGCGCCGTTCCAGCATCGCCCGGCAGTCTTCCGCCATCAGGTTGGGGAAACTCCCATCGCCGCCTACCAACAGTCGATACCGTGCCAGAGCCTGGTCGTCCACCACGTATTCCAGGTTGCCAATCTGGTCGCCGACCCTCAGTCCGTGCCACGCATCTGCGGACATCAGTCGCGACCGCCCGTGCGTCGCGCGTACTCCACCATGTCCGCCGCCGCTGCGTCCTCGTTGCCCAATGCGCGGTTCGCCAGGCCCCGGCCCAAGTAGGCTTCTGCCAGGCTTTCGTTGAGGTCTAGCGCCTTGCTGAACGCCTCAACGGCCGCTCCGTAATCTCCCAGCGCAGCTTTGGAGTTGCCCATGGACAGCCAAACACCGGCCAGTTCGGTGTTTTTTTCGATCGCGACTTCATACTCAGCAATCGCCATTTCGTGTTCGCCGAGGTCTGCTCGCGCCACGCCCCGGTTGTGGTGCAGCGTCGCCGTATCCATTCCGCATGCCTGCGCGGTGTCAAAATCCGCGATGGCGTCGTTGGGCTCGCCCCGGTTCCGCTTGGCGATGCCCCGGTTGTAAAGCGCATTGGCGAACGTCGGCACCAGCCCGATGGCGGCGTTGTAGTCCTCTATCGCCGCGTCAAAATCCCGGCGGTCGCTATAAAGGTTTCCCCGGGCGTAGCGATAATCCGGCTCGTTGGGCCTGAGCTCTATCGCCCGGTCGTAGTAGCTCAGGGCGGTTTCCCGGTCACCCGTGTCCCGGTACGCGATGCCCAGGTTGTACTGCGCGTTGGCGTGTTCCGGGTTGATGCGCGTGCACGCCAGGAAGTCATTGATGGCTTCCGGGTACCTGCCCAGCGAAATTCGTGCGACTCCTCGGGCGTAGTAGTAGTCGGCGTCGTCCGGCTCCAGTTCGATTGCCGCCGAGTAGTCGCTGATCGCGTCCTCGTAAAAACCGAGATGCCTCCTCACCACTCCCCGAGCGTAATACGGCACCGGATATTCGGGATCGGCAAGTATCGCCCGCGTGTAGTCCGCGATGGCTTGGTTCAGCTCGCCGCCGTTGCGATACGCCAGCCCCCGGTAATAATACGCCGGCGCGAACTCGTCGTTGATCCCCAGCGCATGATTGAAGTCGTCAATCGCCGCGTGCAGTTGTCCCGCCCGCAGGGCCAGTTGTCCCCGCGCCGTGTAGTGAAATTCCGTCGGCAAATCGCCGCCCGTGCTCATCTCATCTGCCTGTTGGCTATCATCGTAGCGCTATGATTCGCATCGTTTCTTGGCCTCGCGCCGTGGGACCTGTCCAATCCCCAACCCCGCAGCGCCGTGCCTCCGTGGCCGGTCACAGCTCAGTTTCATACAGGTCGTAGTGGGAATGGCTCATGCCCAGGGCTTCGTAGGTCCGCTTCGCCGCCCAGTTCTCCCGCATCACGTACAACCGCATGCCTCGGATGTCGTCTCGGGCGCTGGCCATTTCCGTGAGCCTTTGGTACAGCCTCCGATACACACCTTGCCGCCGGGCTTCCGGTTTTACATAAACAGATTGGATCCACCAGATCCACCCGTTTCTCCAGTCACTCCATTCGGTCGTGACCATCAGTTGACCCACCGGTTCCCCGCCGGCTTCCGCCAATAGGTAGAACGCCTTCGTTTCGTCCGCCAGCGCGGCGTCAACTCCCATCCGCAGAATTACCCGGTTGAGCGATACCCCCTCAGACTCCAAAGCCATCGCCGCGTTGAACCTGGCAATGATCTCGCCGTCGTCGGTCCGGCTTGGCGTATGTTCAACTCCGTTGTCATGGCCTCATAATTCTAGTAACCCACGATATAATAGGCAACCTAACAACACAGCTTACGCGTACCCGGTTTTGTCATCCCGATCAATTGAGCGGCCGCGCAGTTCCTTTTTGCAGTGATGGCCTTCACCGTGAAGGGACTTTCGGCCGCGTCCCATCGTTTCTGGCAAAAAAGCCGGCATGCGCACTAACCCCACTGTCCGACCCGAAGAGGTGCGCCCATGGCTAATCAGGAACGATTGATCAACGACTTCTGCGACTTGGTACGGATCGATAGCCCGTCCGGAGAGGAGTGGGACGTAGCTCTCCAGGTATCCGATCGGCTGTCCAACCTCGGCTTCCAGGTTGGCCGCGATGAACACGGCAATGTCATCGCCCGGGAGGACGGAGATAGTCCCCTCCTTCTCTCGGCACACATGGACACCGTGGACCCCGGCCGCAGCATCAAGCCCCAGGTGGTCGGCGACCGCGTCACCTCGGATGGCAACACCATCCTGGGCGGCGACTGCAAGGCCGGCGTCGCCGCAATCCTGGAGGCGCTCCAGGCTGTCCATGAGGACGGTCGCCCCCGCCGTCCCGTCCAGGTCGTGTTCACCCGGGGCGAGGAAATCGGCCTGGTTGGCGCATCGAACCTGGACTTCTCGATGATCAGCAGCACGGAGGCCGTCGTCTTCGACGGCAACGGCCCGGTGAACACCATCACCGGCGGCAGCCCCACTTACATGGCCTTCGACATCGACATCAAGGGCAGGGGTGCTCACGCCGGCGTCGAACCGGAGAAGGGTCTGTCCGCCATCCGGATCGCCAGCGACATCATCGCGGAACTCCCCCAGGGCCGCATCGACCACGAGACTACTTTCAACGTAGGCACCATCTCCGGCGGTACCGTTCGCAACGCCGTTCCCTCCGAGGCCACCGTGTCCGGCGAATTCCGCAGCATGAACACGGAGTCCCTGGAGCTGATGCGCATGCAGCTCGTTACCGCCCTGGACACCATCCGCGGCCGCTACTCGGACGCCGAGATCAACGAAAATCTGGAGATGATGTTCCAGATGTACCGCCTGGACCCCAATGAGGCCACCGCCCAGCTCGTGACCCGCGTCATGCGCGATATGGGACTTAACCCCGACATCAGGCCCTCCGGTGGCGGCACCGACGGCAACGTGTTCCGCCTTCACGGCATCGAGAGTGTCGTGGTTGGCATGTCCACCAACCTCATGCACACCATCGATGAGTACGTCGTCGTCCCCGATCTGGTGAACACCGCCCGCTTCTGCGAGGAACTCATGACCTTCGGCGCCTGACCTCGTCGCCGCGCAAACGCGCGTCAGCCGTCGGCCATTCCACTTACCGGATCCGCTGAATGCGAACGTGTGGCGTCCCTGTCGTTGGGCGCGCAGACCGGCAGTTTGGACGCCCCGGCGTGGTCAAAGGCGCATTGACGCTGATGTCAGGACCCAACTGCCGGAAACCTCTGAGGAAACGCAGCACGACCGTGATGCTAATGGGGCGCCCGCACTATGCGGACGCCCCATCGCGGTTACGTCTGGGTCACCAACCTTTCTAACTCTTCCCCAAACTCTTTCCGCTGCCACTCCCGCACCTCCCCGTCGCCGCCGGCCAATTCATAATCCAGCCGCTCCGGCCGCAACGCGATCCGCTCCAAGCTCGGAGTCGGCCAGATGTGGCTAACCGCGAGGTCGAGCCCGTGGCTCCATCCCGCGCGCCACTGTTTGAGCGACTTCAGCCGTTCCCTGCTCTCCGGTCCCCACGGATCTGCGCCCCGGTCCGACCTTGGTGGTCTCGGCGCTTCGGGCCCGGTCATTCCTCGTTCAATCGCTTCCGCCAACTCCCCGAAGCAACGGGTAGCCAGCATTCCGCCGATCCTCCGGGGCGGACTGCCGTTGCACTGCGCCAGTTCCAGCAGATCGCCGTTGCTCGCCGCTTGTGTCGGCGGAACATCCCAGGCGCAGGCCTTCCCGTCCCGGAACGCGTACAGTTCCTGCAACACCGCCGCTTCACGAGGGTTCAATCCTTCCCATCCTCTGATCCGGCGGAACGCCGTCTCCAGCGGTTCTTCCGGAGGATGTCGCAACGCCTCGATTCGCGCGCACTCTTCCTGCACCCACTCGACGCGCCCTAGTTTCTCCAGCCGGTACCCCAGCTCGTCCGCCAGCGGCAGCAGGTGGTGCACGTCGCTGGCCGCGTAATCCAGCGCCGGACCCGATAGCGGCCGCAATCCCCAATGCGACACCTGAAGCTTGGGGTCCTTGGCGATACCGACTCCGCAAAACTCTTCCAGCACCGCGCCCAGGTTTGGACGTGTTACCCCAAGGAATCGCGCCGCCAACCCGGTGTCGAACAGGTTGTTCACCTCAAACCCGAAGTCACGGTCGAAGTAGCGCACATCCTCTTCGGAACCATGTATCACTTTTTCCACCGCCTCGTCCGCCAGCACCTCACCAAGGGCGTCCAATCCCTTCACCGACAACGGGTCCAACAGGTACGTCCCGCTCCCGTCGGAAATCTGTATCAGGCAGATCCGTTCACGGTATGCGAACCGGCCGTTCCGCTCGGTATCCAACGCCAGCCGTGACGCGCGACGCAACTCTTCCGCCACCGCGTCCCAATCGCTTTGTGCGCCAATATATTGATACTGATTCCGCAACAACTACCCCGGATTACGCAATCTATCCATTTTCCCTTTCGACGTGCTCAGTGTAGCACACCTGAGCGGCCCCCGGACCTGCTTACCTGCAAGAACTCCCGTACCCTCGGCGCGTGCAAATGGGCCAGAATATCTGCGTGCTATACTCGCAGCACATCCCACCGCAAGGAGCAATCCATCCCATGAGCGGCGCAGACCTCAAGCAGACCCTACAGCAGGGCGGCCGTATTTTCGGCACCATGATAAGCATCAACCGCAACCCCCGCTGGATCCCTATCCTCGATGGCGTTGGCCTGGACTATGTAATCATCGATACCGAGCACAGTCCCCGCAGCCGCGGCGAGCTGGGCGACTACCTGACCATGTTCAACACCATCAGTGTCGTCCCCATCGTGCGCATCCCCATACCCGACTCCCATTACGTGACCATGGCCATCGACGCCGGCGCCCAGGGCATCCTCGCCCCCTACTGCGAGACCGTCGACCAGGTCCGCGAGGTCGTTAAGGCTGCCAAGTTCCGCCCCCTCAAGGGCGCCGCCGCCGAGGAGGCCCTGGAATCTGGCACCTTCCCCAGCGACGCTAGCCAGGAATATCTCGCCAACCGCAACCGCGACAACATCTGCATCATCGGCATCGAGAGCCAGGCCGCCGTAGATAACCTCGACGCTATCCTCGCCGTGCCCTACGTCGACGCCATCTTCGTCGGTCCCAACGACATGAGCATCTCCCTCGGCGTGCCCGACGACTACGCTCAGGAAATCTACAAGACCACCGTCAAGGGCATCATTGACAAGTGTGAAGCCAGGGGGCTGCCCACCTTGGTCCACCACCAGACCCCCGAACTTTCCGAATACTGGATCGAGCAGGGCGCCCGCTTCGTCCTCCACGGCACCGACCGACGCGCTCTAGCCGAAGGTTTCCGCACCGAGTTCACCCGCCTCCGAGGCAAGGCTGCGTCTGTATAGCGCAGCTTGGAACGAGCGCGACCGTCATCCCCCGGCGTGCGCCAAATCGTCCGCACTCGCGCTGCAAACAACACGGCAACATTGCGGCAGCACAGAGCCGGTTACGCCAACCAAAAACGGGGCGGGTCATTGACCCGCCCCGTTCGCGTTCCGCGTGCCATTCTTGCGTCAATTCCTCGAGCTTCCTTCCCACCGCTCGCGCAGCGAAGCGATGTACACCTTCTCGTATTCGCCGTGGTGACCGTTTGCTGGGTCGTCCGCCAACTGCTCCGCCCACATGTACTCCACGTCCGCCCACACGATCGGAAACTTGGGCTGATCGAAAAAAGCTGCCACCGCATCGAACGGCGTTGCTCCTTCCATGTAACCCAGCATCTGAAAATTGTCGTACAGGTTCCCCTGTTCCGACATGAACCGCCCCTTCATTGCCGCCATGATTATGTAATTCGCCATGACATATCCAACCCGCCGTTCCGCACCGAGCCTTGCCGTGTCCCAGTCCCTGTCTAACACTCTCCTGGCCACGTCACAGTCGCGACCTATGGTGAGGCGAAACACCGCCATTGCGAGGCCGGCACGGTAGTCTATTTGCCTGAGGCAACTTGGTGTAGCCCCGGTTAGCAGGCCGCCGCTGCGGGGATCCGGCCGCTTCGGGCCTACCGTGTGAGGATGTGCACCGTCGTCACGTCGCCGGCACCCGAGCACTGCGCCACGCCAACCCGCGCGTTCTCCACCTGCCGCGGCCCGGCTTCGCCCCTCAGTTGCGTCACCGTTTCGTGCACCATGCGGATTCCGCTGGCTCCGAACGGGTGGCCCATTGCCAGCAGACCGCCGTCCGTGTTCACCGGAATGTCTCCGCCCAGCGCCGTTCGCCCGTCTTCGGTCGCCTTCCAGGCTTCGCCGAACGGGGTCAGATGCAACGCCTCTATCTGCTGCAGCTCACCGATGGTGGCCGCGTCGTGCACTTGAGCCAAGTCCACATCTTCCGGCCCGATGCCCGCCATTTCGTAGGCCTGCAACGCCGCCGGCTCCGTTCGGTACGGGCTGAACGCCGAATGATCGCTGCCGCGTCCGTTGTAGTTGCCCGAGGTCAACGCCGCTGCTGCCACCCGAATCGCCCGAGTGCGATCCACGCCGTAGGCGTCCATCGCGTCCGCCGCGCAAAGCACCGCAGCCGCCCCGCCCTCGCTGGTCGGGCAGCACTGGTAAAGCGTCAGTGGGTCGGCGATCAGTCGCGAATTCAGCACGTCCTCCACCGAGTACGTCTCTTTGCGGTGCGCGTAGGGGTTCATCGCCGCCGCCTGCCGCGCCTTCACCGACACCTGTGCGAACGCCGACGCCGGCGCCCCCGTCTCCTCCATGTACCGCTTCATCCGCAGCGCGTATCCCGCCATCATGTGATCGCCGCCGATGTACCGCGCCGGGCTGTTCTCGGCGGTCACCGTCACCGGCCCGCTCGGCACCTTCTCCGCGCCGAACGCCAGTGCCATGTCGAACACGCCCGACGTTATCCCCCAGTACGCTTGCCAGAACGCCGTCGACCCGCTGGAGCATGCGTTCTCCACGTTGATGATTGGCACCCCCGTCAGTCCCAGCTGCGCCAGAGTGCTCTCGCCGATCGACATCCCGTGGTAGTACACGTGCCCGAAGTAAGCCACCGGAATCGCCGACCACGGCACACCGGAATCCCGTAGCGCGTCAACGACGGCATCCCGCGCCAGGTCCGACAGGCTCTGTTCCGGAAATCTTCCAAAGGCGTGCAGCCCAACGCCAACCACCATAACCTCGCGCCCGGGCCGAAACTGTGTCATCACTGCCCCCGTATCTCCATGTGTGCCAGCCGACCGCAATCACTCGCGGCGCCTTCATTTTCGATGTCACTGACCCTGGAACGTGCTCTCGACGTCGTGACTATGCCACCCTGCTCAGACGTACCCATTAGGGTTCAATCCTCTACTGCTGACTGCCATTGTGAGCGAAGCGCGGCTATCTCGTTGTCCTTCAAACGGGCCGCCACTTGTACACGGCGCGCTCCGAACCTTCAATCCCGTCCATGCCCACTGTTTGAATCGCCAACGTGACCGCCATGCCCACCCGCAGGTCGTCATGCGCGCAGTCAATCACCTCCGCCAGCACATGAGGACCCTCCGGCAACTCTGCCTCTCCCAATACGTACGGGACCGGTCCCGGCCAACCCGACGGCGGCACCCTGACGATCGTGTAGCTGTACAGCGTCCCCTCAGTGGATAGTTCCACTTCCTCCAGATCTGGAGACGTGCACGATTGGCAGAAGGTCGCGGGTCCGAACACGCAAACCCCGCACTGCGAACACCGCATCCCCAACAGCACTCCCTGCTCGCCGCTCTCGTCGGTCAAACGAAGGCACTTTTCGTCTACTGAAATGCTCATGATATAGCTGGACCTACCGTGGGGATGACCGTCGGATACCGACAGGGCCAGAAGTCTAAAACCCGCTCCCATCGCTGTCAATTTATCCCTCGTCTGCCGCACGCCACGGCATGCCGGCCCTTTTTCTGACAACCTGACGGCGTGGGACGAGTTCAGTCCTATCGACATCCAGATGCTCGCAATATAGCAAAATAGCAAATCGTATTGTCGGCGTTGTCACGCTTTCGTCACCGGCAATGTGATTGTTGACTGAGTTACGCGACAGGTGTATTGTCCGTCGGTAGCGCGCCGACAGCGCGATTTTTGCGTATGGCGTAGGAGGTCTTGAATGTCGCTAAAGGTAGTCTGGATTGGATCCTTGATACTGTCTCTCTCGCTCGTGCTGGCTTGTGGAGGCGCCGCCCCCGCTGAGCCCCAGGTCATCGAGAGGGAAGTCGTCAAAGAGGTGGTGGTGGAGAAAGAGGTACCCAAGGAGGTGGTGGTAGAGAAGGAGGTGCAGGTGGAAAGAGAGGTGGAGGTCACCAGGGAAGTTCTGGTGGTAGCCACCCCGGTGCCGCCGGTTGAGGCAGCGGTCCGGTCGGGAGCCCCCACGGGCACGCTGACCGTGAGCCTGCAAAATCTCGGTGCACAGACCACCGACCCCATCCTGCAGGGTCGCGCTGGGCACGCCCAGTACCAAGCGCCCATCTACGATGCTCTCCTCGGGTTCAACTACGAGTCCCAGTACGGCGGGGTGGGTCCTGGCGTCGCGCACGAATGGGGCAATCGATCCCGGACGGAAGCAGTTGGACCTTCAATCTCTATGAGGACCTGGTCTGTTCCACAACGGTGAAGTCCTGACCGCGCACGACGTGAAGTTCAGCCTCGAGCGCACCATGTACCATGAGGACAGCCTGGTGGGCGACGGTACCCGGCTGGTGCGGCAACTGCGGCAGCCGTCCGAGGAAGCCATCGAAGTCATCGATGATCTTACGGTTCGAATGCACACCGAAGGTTCCAAGCCCCACTTCTGGAGTCTGCTGACCCGGGCGGTTTTCCAGGGTGGCCAGATCATGCCCAAGGACTACATCGAAACCGTTGGCGATGACGGGTTCCGGGCCGAGCCGGTGGGCAGCGGACCCTGGATGTACGCCGAGCACTCCGTGGGCGATTACTTCCGGTATGAGGCCTTCGACAAGTCGCACCGCGGCGTCCCCCACTTCGCCAACATGAGCCTGCTGCTGGTCCCTGAGGAGAGCACAAAGCTGGCCATGGTCCGCACCGGCCAGGCCGACCTCATCGACCTGGTGCCGGAGTCCGCCCCTGAGGTGGAAGCCGCCGGCGCACAGCTCACGGTCATCGAGGGCGTGGGCATGTTCATCTACCAGTTCTGGGGTCTCTACTTCGACGAGGTCCAGGCCTTGCCAATCGGTGATATTCGCGTTCGGCAGGCCATGTCACTGGCCATCAACCGCCAGGACATCATCGACTACACGCTGAACGGCTATGGGCGACCCTCCATGCCCTTCGCTACCTTCCCCACCAGCGTCGACGTCGACGTTCCCAGGTGGCAGCAATGGGGCGAAGAGCAGCTGGCATACGACCCGGACCGCGCCCGAGCATTGCTGGCTGAGGCCGGATACCCTGACGGATTCGAGGTTACCTTCTGGAGCACCAACTTCTCGGGCACTCCGTACATGAACGACCTCAGCCAGGCCGTCACGGGTTTCTGGGATGAGATCGGCATCAAGTCCGACCTGAAGATCGTCGAGATTGGCGTGTTCAGTCCCTTAACGCGGCTGCCAAGCCACGACGAATGGGGCGAAGGCTTCAACGGCGCAGTCAGCATCTACCGTAACGCGGGCCGGCCGCTTCCGGTACCCAGGTATCAATCCACTTTCCACCCCGATAGCAACCACGTTGCATTCGGCGACCGCGACCACATGACACCGGAAGCGGTGGAATACCTGAAGCTCCACGAGATTGCTATCTCCGAGCGTGACGATGTCAAGCGTGCCGAGGCTACCAACGCCATCATTCAGTTGGTCGCCGATCAGTGGATCGGTGTCCCGATTGTCCAAGGCGTCAGCCTCTACGCGTCCAATCCGGAAACCGTGGGCCGTTGGCAGGGCATCTACGGACGCGGGGAACTTGGCGATGTGTTCCATCGCATTCCTCACGCCGAGGGCAACCCCTGGCAGCAATAGGTTTTGAACACCGCATCAAGGGTTGGTTCGTTGGGCCGGTGTGACCGTAAAACCTCGAAACAACCCTTGACAATCCACGCTCGCCGCGCCGGGAACTGGCCAAACAGCCCGGCGCGCGCTATTCTTTGAGGTCGGGGATTTGCAGAAATACATCCTCAACCGGCTCCTGCAGGGCGTCGTCCTCCTCTTTATCGTTGCGTTGATCGTGTTTGCCCTCTCCCGGGCGACCGGCAATCCAGCGGACCTCATGGTCCCTGAGGACGCGACCGAAGAGGAGCGCCAGTTCATCGAGAGCAAACTGGGGCTCGACCGCCCGTACCACGTTCAGCTGTTCGTGTTTCTCACCGGAGCAATCCGGGGAGACTTCGGCAACTCACTCGTCTACAGCAAACCGGCAACCGAGCTTTTCTTTGAGCGCCTTCCGAACACGCTGAAGCTGCTGCCGTTGTCCATGTTCATAGCCGTGAGCGTCGCCATACCGCTGGGGGTGGTGGCGGCTGTCAAACGAGGCACATGGATCGACCAGGTGGCCGGGGCTATCGCGGTCTTCGGAGTCGCCACGCCTAATTTCTGGATCGCCATCGTCTGTATCTATATATTTAGCGTGTGGTTGGACGTTCTCCCGCCCGGGAGAATGGGCGGTCCCCTCCACTACATCTTGCCGGCGTTCACTTTGGGCACCTTCTCCATCGCCGGGATCATGCGGTTGATCCGGTCAAGTATGCTCGAGGTGCTGGATACCGAGTATGTCAAGCTCGCCCGGATTAAAGGTTTGGAAGAGTGGAAGATTTTCTGGAAGCATTGCCTCCGCAACGCCCTGATCCCGGTGCTGACGCTCTTCGGTGTCTTTGTCGGCGGGTTCGTTACCGGCGCCATTGTTACCGAGACCGTGTTTGCCTGGCCGGGTATAGGCCGCCTCACCATTGACGCTGTGGCGCAACGCGACTTCCCCCTACTGCAGGCAGTGATCCTGCTGGACGCCGTGATAATCCTGGCCGTAAATTTGTTGGTAGACATACTGTACGCTTACGTGAATCCCAGGATCCGGTACGACTAGGAGCGATATGGCCAGCGACCGCATAGATACCAGCGTGCAGGTACTGGAAGTGTCGGGTGAGCGGCGCTCGCAGTTGAAGTATGAGCTCAAGCAGCTTCCCTGGATTCCTGTGGTGATCATCGTAGTCATCGTGTTCGCGGCAATATTCGCGCCAATCGTCGCACCCCATTCTCCGACTAAGCAGTCCCTGCGCGACAAACTCCAACCTCCGGCCTGGCAGGAAGGGGGAACCGCCGGGCATCTCCTGGGGACCGACATCTTGGGCCGGGACATTCTAAGCCGGCTGATTTACGGTGCCAGAGTCAGTTTGATAGTAGCCTCCACTGCCCTTCTGGCCGGGGGTGCGATTGGGGGTGTTCTGGGATTAATCTCGGGATATGCCGGGGGCAAGGTGGACACGTTGATCATGCGGGCGGTGGACGCCACCCTTGCCTTTCCGACCATCCTTTTTGCCTTGTTGTTAGCAGTGACGATGGGGCAGGGATTACTGACGGTGGTTCTCGCCGTGACCCTCATCTTGTGGGCGAGGTTTGCGCGGGTCACGAGGGGAGAGGTGCTGGGACTGAAGGACAACGATTATGTGGCGCTGGCCCATGTCCATGGTTGCTCTGGCGTGCGAATCATGTTCGTCCACATCATGCCCAACGTGTTCAACACCTTCATGGTCATGTTGACGCTGCACGTTGGGACTCGTCATTTTGACCGAAGCATCACTCAGTTTCCTTGGCGCTGGAATTCCCCCGCCGACGCCTTCTTGGGGACAGATGGTCGCAGACGGGCCGGGCAAAGGTCGCCACGGCGTGGTGGATCTCCATAATCCCCGGGGTCGCGATTACGCTGGTGGTGATCGCGTTCAACGTGTTCGGGGATTGGCTCAGAGACCGGCTGGATCCCAAGCTGCGCCAGCTCTAGGTCCGACCTAGCGGTAAGCGGGTTTCACGTGCAACTGGGATGGAGGACGGGCCCGCCCTTGGAACGGCACAGGCCGGTTTCGCGTTCCCCTGACCATCGAGGCTCTCGATGCTAGAGAAAGCGGTGAGGAAGAGCCGCAGCTGCGCGCGAGGCCAGCGAGCGGCTATTTCCCCCGAGCTACCGAGCTGGTCACCTTATCGATCACGAGCCGAGCCAATTCTCTCGACCAGAGTAGCATTGCGGCGCCGCCAATGATTACAACCAGGCCGCCACCGAGCATGAGGCCGTTCACGTCGGCGCAGAGGCAGGGAGTACCGACCGCGACCGCGTAGCCGCCGCCGAGTATCACGGCCAGGGACATCAGCCAAAATATTGCGGAGGTCAAGGCGACCACGGCGCCTCTTCCGGAAATCTGCAATTCGAGCACCCTTGGGTCACGGTGTACCGGATACAGATCTGGGTCTGTAGCGCGCGGATTGTAACACGGGCACGATAGGCTCCGCCCACGCCGATGGGCGGGACGTCAGATCAGCAATCGCCAGGAACGCTGCGCCGTAGTGTTCCTGGCGATTGCTTTGGTTGAACCGAACCGGACCTTGGAGCAGGAACGGTAGATTGTGGGACGACCAGGCCAGGCTCATCCTTTCCGGTTCCGGTCAGGCTCCCAGTTCATGTATTGGCTCCATCCTCACGTATCCCTTCCACCGGCGCCTTATCTTTCTGCTAACCCGATCCTGAATAGGGCCCACTGAACTGCGTGGTCCCATAGATGTGTTGTCGCTTGACCGCCCCCGGCTGCCGTGATAGCGTGAAACCTACGTAATTCGTCGCCGGCCGCGAAACTGCGGCCGTCCGCTCCCGAGTTTACCTATGAGCAGCATCCTCGGTCTGGAGCCCCTACCCGATCGCCAGTCGTGGGAAAAATCCTTGGGTGAGTTCCTGGAGATTGTGGTCGGTTCCAATCCGGACAAGATTTTCGTCGAGATCGCCGGACAGCGAATCACCTATTCCGACTTCTATCGCCGCTGCCGCTCGGCGGCAACCATGTTCCGCGATTTGGGTATCGGCCACGGCGACCGGGTTTGCCTGTTTCTGCCCAACGTGCCCGAGGTGTTGTACACGTGGTTCGGCTTGGCCCTGATCGGTGGCATTGCCGTCACCATCAACACCGCCTACCGGCGCGATGAGATGGCCTTCATCCTCAATAACGCGGAGGCCTCCACCCTCGTAGCCCACGAAAGCCTGCTCGACGTGGCGACTCAGGCTGCCGATATTGCCCCCTGCGTCCGTCATCGGCTCTTCGTGGGGAGCGATGCCGCGCCGTCAGGGTGGGGTGGATACTCCGACCTGCTGGCCGCCTCTCCTGAGATCGCCGAACTTCCGCCGGTGGCTCCCACTGACATCTCGATGCTCCAGTACACCTCCGGCACCACGGGCAACCCCAAGGGCGTCCAGGTCACCCATCAGATGTACGTTTCCGCCGGACAGGGTTTCGCCCTCTGGACCCAAGCCACACCCGACGACCGCTTTTTCACCTGTCTCCCCTACTTCCACGCCAACGCCCAGTACTACAGCACCATGGGCACCCTGGCCTCCGGCGCCACCCTGGTGGTGCAGGACCGTTTCAGCGCCTCGCGTTTTTGGAATCAGGTGCGCGACGCCCGCGCTACCGTGGTCAATTTCATCGGCATGATGATGCCTGTCCTGTCGAAAAACGATCCTCAGCCCGACGACACCGACAACACCGTTCGATTGTTCTACGGCTCTCCGTCCTTCTCCCCGGCATTCCTCTCCGGGTTCGAGCAGCGCTTCGGCACCGACATCATCGTCGGTTTCGGAATGACCGAGACCTGCTACGGCACCATCGAGACCATCCGAGGCGAACGCCGTCCCAACTCGTCCGGCCAGCCTCGCCAGCATCCCGACGCCGCTTTCGAAAACACGGTGCGCATCGTTGACGACCGGGGCGTTGCCGTCGCCAACGGTCAGCCCGGCGAAATTACGATCCGCAACCCGGCAACCATGGCCGGTTACTGGCGCAACGAGACCGAGACCAACGCCTCCCTACGGGGCGGCTGGCTTTTCACCGGCGACCTTGGTTGGCTCGACGACGACGGCTATCTGTATTTCGTCGACCGCAAGAAGGACGTCATCCGTCGCCGGGGCGAGAACATCTCCTCTCAGGAAGTCGAGGACGTGATCAAAAGCCACGAAAGCGTGTTGGACTGCGCCATCATCGCCGTCCCGTCGGACCTCGGCGAGGACGAAGTCAAAGCCTATATCACGCCGCGGCCCGGCGCGTCGCCTCAGCCCGAGGACGTCATCTACTGGTGCGCCGACCGCCTGGCCTACTTCAAGGTTCCCCGTTACATCGAAATCCGCGACGAACTTCCCCGAACCCCGAGCCTGCGGGTCCGAAAAGACGTCCTGCGTCAGGAGCGCGAGGACCTGATCTCGGGTTGCTTCGACCGCGAAGCTGCCGGTATCCAAATCCGGAGATGATAAATATTTGGTGACAGGAGCAATGTCATGAACAAAATTGAAGCTATTTTCCGGCCCGAACGCCTGAACAACATCAAGGACGCTTTGAGCGAGGTCGGCATCGTCGGCCTGACAGTGACGCAGGTCTCTGGCCGTGGTTCCCAAGGCGGGGTCGAAGTGACCGCTGCCCGCGGCCTCGGCACTTATCGCATTGACATGCTCCCCAAGGTCAAGCTGGAGGTCGTCGTCAACGATCCCGACACGGACCGCGCCGTCGACATCATTCGCACCAACGCTATCACCGGCGCCCCCGGCGACGGCAAGATTTTCATCTATCCGGTCGGCGACGCTATCCGCATCCGTACCGGCGAACACGGAAGCGATGCCGTGTAGTGCCTTGCATCGTCGTGGACTGCGTTCACCGGTATCGCCCGGCGACCGCTGACCGATCCCATCGTTGCTACGCGTTAGTACCCTGGAGTTTACCCGATGCCAGAACCTCGTTACTGGCTGTTCAAGTCCGAACCTTCTTCCTATTCCTACGACGACTTGCAGTCCGAAAACGACCAGACCGCCGAGTGGGACGGCGTCCGCAATTATCAGGCTCGTAACTTCATGCGCGACGACATGCGCGTCGGGGATTACGTCCTCTTTTACCACAGCAACGCCAAGCCCCCGGGCGTCATCGGCACCGCTCGCATCGTCCGTGAATCCTACCCTGATGACACCGCATGGGATTCCAACTCACGCTACTATGACCCCAAGTCCGACCCGGCCAACCCCACCTGGCTCATGGTTGACATAAAAGCCGAAACCCGCCTGCCGCGCTTCGTCAGTCTTAACGAGCTCAAGGCTAACCAGTCCCTGGCTGATATGCAGGTCATCAAGCGGGGCCAGCGCCTCTCCATCCAGCCCGTCACCCTTGAGGAATGGGCCGAAGTGCTCGCTATGGCTGACCGCCCGGAACCCTAGTCGCGCATCAAGCCCATCACTCGGACGTCAAAAGGGGCGGGTTCTGAACCCGCCCCTTTTCAGTCTTTTGTAGGTCCGGCGACTCTTACAATGCGCCGCTGATCGTAATGTCCAGCAGCGCCGGCTTCCCGCTTTCGAATGCCCGATTGATCGCCGGCCCGATCTCCGCGGGATCATCGACCCGCTCGCCATGCACGCCCATAGCCTGCGCCATCATCGCCAGGTCCAGGCGGTTGGCGAAGTCCATTCCCACGTAATCGCTCGACCGATCCCGGTCATCCAGCATGTCCCGCAGGTAGACCTCCATGTTCACCTTGAGGATGCGGTAGGCCTGGTTGTTGCAGATGGCGTAAACCACTGGGATGTTGTACCGGCTCGCGGTCCATAGCGCCTGCACCGTGTACATCGACGCCCCGTCGCCCACTACCGCCAGGACTGGCCGATCCGGATGCGCCAGCTTCACCCCCAGCGCTCCCGGCATCGCCCAGCCCAGGGCGCCTCCGCGTATCCCGTAGATGTCTCCGGGCTTCTCGAAGTCAAACGCCCGGTTCAGCGCCGGCCGCGACGTCACCGCTTCGTCGGCCACGATGGTGTTAGGTGGAACGGCGTCTGCCAGTTCGTGCATCATCCGCTCCACCGGCATCGGCGCGTTGTTCCACGTCGCCGCGATGCGCTCCTGGTACCGCTCCGCGTCCCGCTCCCGCGCCGCCGCCAGGGTGGCCGCGCGCGTCGCCGCCGCTTCCCGCTGCCCGCCGGACATGCTCGACTCCAGCGACGCCGCCAAGTCCGCCATGCCCGCCGCCGGGTCGGCCATCATCCCAACCTCAGTTGGGTAGCTCTTTTCGATCTCCCAGTAGTTGCTGTCCAGGTGGATCAGTTTCGTGTCTGGATTCAAAAACGGCACGTCCACGTACAGGAAAGACGAGAAGACATCCGTGCCCACTGCCATCACCACGTCGGCGTTCTGAAACTGCCGCGCCGTCGCCGGACTATTCAGGTTGAGCATCCCGGCCCATTGCGGGTGTCCTGTCGGGAAGTTCACTTCCGAGTACGATGTGGCGACAACCCGCGCTCCAGTCTGCTCTGCGACCCGAACCACCTGATCCACCGCTCCCGACTGCGCCACCCGGTCCCCGATTACGATCACGGGGTTCTCGGCCCCCGCCAGCAGTTCCGTCGCCCGGTCAACCGCCGCCACATCCGGGCGGATTCTGAAGTACCCGTCGGAAGAAGACACCGGTTCAAAATCTACCTCTTCGTCCATCGTGTCCCACGGGAACGATACGAACACCGGCCCGGTTGGCGGCGTCTTCGCTTCTTTGAACGCCCGCCGGACCGCCACCGGAATATCCGAAGCGTGCCGAATCTCCACGCTCCACTTGGTGTATTGCTTGGTCATTTCCACCAGGTCACCCGAGAGCACCGGTTCGCTGATGAGCATCCGCGTGTCGGAGTTCCCCGCCGTCAGCACCAGCGGCGTCCCGCCCCGAAACGCGTTGTACAGTCCGCTGATCCCGTTGGCCAGGCCCCCGGCAATGTGTATGTTCGCGAATGCCGGCTTCCCGGTCGCCCGCGCGTATCCGTCGGCCATACCTACTGCCGTCCCCTCTTGCAGCGCCTGAATATATTGCAACTGAGGGAAATCCTGCAGGCCGTCTAGGAACGGCGTCTCGCTGGTGCCGGGATTGCCGAATATGTACTCAACCCCTTCAGCCGCCAGCATCTGCGCCAAAGCGTGCTTGCCGAGCATCCGCGCCATGATAATTCTCCACTGCCTGTGCCGCTGGTCATCGGGGCGAATTATTATTCGTCCCGGTTCGTTCCTCTCAATACCGTCGGTGTTGATCGATTACTGGTAAATCATCCACTCCAGCAGGTTGTTGTCCGGATCCCTGGCGTACAGGCTCACCGCTGGCAGTACGCCTCGCTGGCGCGCGCCCTTACGCGGACCCGGCCCTCGAATCACTTCGACCTCGGCGTCTGCCAGCATCTGTTGGCATTCTTGAGCCGTGCCATCCCATACGAAGCAGATGTCCGTACACCCAGGCACGGCCGTGGGTCCCCGATAGTCGGCCAGGTGCCCTTCAGGGTGCACGTTGATCTTGGAATCGCCGATCTGGATCGAGTAGATGTTGGCCGTCCCGGCCCGCCATGCTTCCTCGTCGTTGATGGCAAAACCCAGTTTCTTATAGAACGCCATCAACCGCTCGGCGTCGGCGGTGGGCATCGCGATGTGGTCAATCCCCACGGTTCCCATGGTTGCTACCTCCGTGTTTCCGTCTATTCGTAGGTCATCCATTCCAGCAGGTTGCCGTCCGGGTCCCGGGCGTACAGGCTCAGTGACGGCGCCGCGCCCCGTTGGCGACCGCCTTTCCGCGATACCGGCCCTTGGACCACCTCCACTCCCGCTTCGGCCAGCATTCGCTGACACTCTTCCACGGTGCCGTCCCAGACGAAGCACATGTCCATGCAGCCGGGCACTGCGGTTGGCCCTCGTAGGCTTGCCATATACCGTTCGGGATGCACGTTAATCTTGGAATCGCCGATTTGGATCGAGAAGATGTTTGCCGTCCCCGCCCGCCATTCCGCCTCGTCGTTGATCTCAAATCCTAGACTCTTGTAGAACCCGATCAACCGCTCGGCGTTCACTGTCGGCATCGCTACATGGTCGATGCTCACCGTCCCCATACGTGATTCCTCCAAATTAGCGCGGCCCAGTCGTGGCTCCCGTGAGAAGCCCGTACCGCCCGCGCCGGTAGCCGGTAGCGTAGCCTCAGTTTGCGGCCGCCTGGGTCCGGCTGGCCGACACCCGCCGCAGGAAGTCCAGGATGATCCGCTGCGTCTCACCGGCTGCCTCGTTGGTCATCAAGCCGTGCTCCGCCCCGGCGATCACGTGCAACTCCGCCCCGGCAATTCCCGACGCGAGGCTGCGTCCGCACTCCACCGGAATCCGGCTGTCAGCGTCGCCGTGGACCACCAGCGTTGGCATCCTCAATTCCGACAGTCGCGATTCCAGTGAATCCCCGATGTCCAGGTACGCCTGCTGAGTGGCGGCTATCCCGTCGATCCGCGCCAGGTTCTCTGCGGCAATCCGCGCAAACCGCTCCGGATCGTCCGACCCCATCTGCGGGAACCGGTCGGACAGCGCCTGCTCCACCGCGGCGGACCTGCCCACGTCCGCGATCCGTTCCTGCAGTCTTCGCAGCTCCTGCCGCCGCACCTCGCGCTGGGCCTCTTGCGAGTAGGTCATCGTGTTGATGAGGATCAGCGTATCAGTCAGGTCCGGATGGTCCAGCGCAAACTGCATCGCGATTGGTCCGCCCGCAGACGAGCCGAGGATGTGGGCTTTGCTGATGCCCAGATGGTCCAGTAACTCCCGCAGGTCACGGGCACAGTTGGCCATGCCATAGCCTTCGTCCGGGGTGTCCGAGCCTCCGCACGCCCGCCGGTCGTAGAACACGCAGCGATACGCTTCGGACAGGGTACCCGCCTGCCGGTTGATCGTGTCTCGCGCCCCGTCTCCGCCCCCCAAACCTCCGTGTATCAGCGCCAGCGCTGGCGCACCATCGTCCCCAAACACCTCGAAGTGCATCTGGTATCCATTTATCTCAGCAAGAGCCATCTTCATACCTCGGAGCCGTCTGGATTTCGGCTCACTATAGCCGCCGACCCGAGGTAGCAAGGCGGCTCGCAACCCCCAGGCCAGAACGCCCGGCGATGGCCGCCGGAACGATCCTCACAACCGATCGCAATATCCTCGGATCGTTGCTCATGCTCATGTCGGTCGTTGGCTATTCGCTGATGGTTGCCAGCGGCAATGGCGAAGACAGCCCACTCTTTTTCTTCCCCGGTTGGAGGTTCCGGGGTCGCTTCCCGGCGTGACCGGCTGGATAGGCTTCCTCGCCGAAATGCTCACGGTATTGTTCTCCGCCGTGATTGTGTTCTTCGTGGTCAACGTCTGGTACCTTCACCGCGACCGTGCCGGCGAGATACCGGGCAAGCATCTGGACCATTATGGTTACGGCGTGGTGTTCCGCGATGCGGTCCACCGCGGTTTCGAGCAGACCGCTTCTATCGTAATCGGGTTGCCGGTCACTATCGCCTACGCCGCTTTGTTGTGGTACAAGTGGCTTCTTTAGCGGCCCTTTGACGGTTTGGCGCTGACGGGTTGTTGCCGACTTGCGGCGAGCCCTATGCTAAAATTCAATACGGTAGCCACACCATGACGACCCAAAACCACATCTATTTCGACCACGCCGGTACCACGCCCATGGACGAACGCGTCCTTGAGGCAATGCTGCCTTATTTCACGCGGCTGTTTGGCAATGCCTCCAGCGTCCACACCGTCGGACAGGAGGCTCGCTACGCCCTCGATGCCGCGCGCGAACGCGTTGCCAAGGTGCTGAACTGCCGGAACCGCGAGGTCGTCTTCACCAGCGGCGGCACCGAGTCTGACAACGCTGCCATTCGCGGCGCCGCTTACGCGTTGGAAGAAACCGGGCGCCACGTCATCACCGCGGCCGCTGAGCACCACGCCGTGCTCCACGCCTGTCAAATGCTGGAAAACCGCGGCTGGGAAGTTACCTACCTCCCGGTTGATGACTACGGCCAGGTGGACCCTCAGCAGGTGGCCAACGCCATTACCTCCGAGACCGCTCTCGTTTCCATAATGTACGCCAACAACGAGATTGGCACTATCAATCCAATCCCGGAAATATCCGCCGCGGTCCGGGAGCGGGCTCAGCAGCTCAGCCGCACCATCGTCATGCACACCGACGCTGTTCAGGCCGCTGGGTTCCTGGATCTCGACGTTCGCCGCCTGGGCGTGGACATGATGAGCCTGTCCGGGCACAAGTTTTACGGCCCCAAGGGAGTCGGCGTCCTCTTTTTGCGCCGAGGGCGTTCCCTTTCTTCCCCTGATCACCGGCGGCGGCCAGGAACGCGAACGTCGTTCCGGTACTGAAAACGTGGCCGGCATCATCGGCCTCGCCGTTGCCCTTGAGCTGGCGGACGGCCACCGGGGTGAGGTCGGCGCCCATTGCGCTGTCCTGCGCGACCGCATCGTCGCCGAGGTACAGCGTCTCGTTCCGGATGCAATTCTCAACGGACATCCCACCGACCGGCTTCCCAACAACGTCAACTTCTCCTTCGATGGCGTTGAGGGAGAGTCCATCCTGTTGGGCCTGGACCTCCAGGGCATCGCCGCCAGCAGCGGCAGCGCTTGTAGCAGTGGCTCTTTGGAGCCTTCTCACGTCCTGTTGGCCTTGGGCCAGACCGCCGATACCGCGCGCGGCTCTCTCCGCGTCACCCTTGGCAAGTACAACACTGACGCTGAGGTGGACCGCTTGTTGTCCGTGCTCACCGACCTCATCGACAATCTGCGCCAACTGCCCACTTTGACCGGAACCGGCGATGATTAATTTCTTCGGTCACGCGGCGGCCCGGCGAACGGCGCCGGTATTCCTCATGGTGTTGCTGGTGGTGGTCGCCGGTCTGGCCTGCTCGTCCCAATCCCCCAACATCGGCAAGTTCTACAAGGGTCGGATACTCCATGTCAGCGTCGCGGCATTGGAGCGCACCGATGAGCTCCGCTGGACTACGTCGACCCGCTATCCCGCTCAGGGAGCCGTCGACGAGCCTCTCTACAGGATTACGCCTCAGTCCGCCGAAAACGAACTCGTCCTCGTGCGTGTGAAGGTCGAAAACCACACGGCCACCAGCGCCATCGTCAACGTTGACCGCGATTCGGCCCAGTTGCGGGATTTCTTCCAGGGTCGGTATTCGCCGATCGATGTCGGCGCTCTCGCTCAGGACGCTGAAATTCCCGAAAAGCCCTCCGACCGTTGCAACGTTCCTGTCAACCCTGAAGCTCCCTCCGACTGTGTCCGGTTCCTTTGGAACGCGGCTTACGAGGAAACTCAGCCTGACGGCCAAATCAAAGTGGTCCAACGTGCCCAGGAACTGCCCAAGGGCACCGGCCTGGATGGTTGGATGGTGTTCGAAGTGCCCAGGGACACCGAGTTCCGCTCTTTCCGCTGGGGCTCCGGCGACACCATCATCGTCGATTTCTGATTGCGGCTTGCGCGGACTGTCTGCTCGTGGGCGACGTGAGCTCCGCGGGCGAGCCGATCCGAAGCCTTGGGGGCGCTCTGCCTGGCCCGTTGGTTTGAATGATCCGACCCGAAGGCATCGGCGCCACACCAGTTGGACGGCGCGTATTCCACCTGGTGGCCGCTAGCTTCACCACGCTATTGGCCCTCGCCATTCCCGAGCATGCCTACATGACCATCGTGGGCGGCGGCGCTTTGCTCTCGTTGGCCGTGGACGTGGGTCGCCAGCGCGTCGGGCCGATCAATCGCGCTTATGTGGGGATATTCCGATCCATCCTGAAACCGTCGGAATCCACGGATATAACCGGCGCTACCTACCTGTTGTTCGCGATCTTCTTCGCGTTCTATTTCTTTGGCCCGGAGATTGCGATACCGGTGTTGATGTTCGTGGCAGTGGGCGATCCGGTAGCCGCTTTGGTCGGTACGCGCTGCCCCGGTCCGCGCCTTTGGGGCAAATCCCCCATCGGCAGCCTCGCGTTTGTCGTCGCCTCAATGGCTGTCTGGGCCATCTTGGTAGCTGCGGGGTTCGGGTCGTGGTCAGTGGCAGTGGTTGTCACCGCCGTCCTGGCCGCTGCCGTCGAACTAGCGCCGTTCCCGTTGGATGACAACCTGACGGTACCGTTGATCGCGGGAGGCTTTATGATGCTGGCGCGAGTCGCGGGCTGGTAGTCGCGCCCGGCCTAAGCTGCGGCGCCGTCGTACTCCACGACGTCCGCCCGCTGCCGCTGGAAGTTGAGGTATGCCGCCTTCGACATCGCCGGCCGGAACGACGCGGTCACTCGCTTCGCGCCTTCCGCGTTGTCGGCAAGCAGGTCAATCACCGACATCGCCATGATCTTCGCCGGATTCACCACCGCCTGCTGGTAATCCGTGACCAAGTACTCCGAGCTGTGCCCCGCCCCCTGCGCTCCGCCCGTGTACGGGTGAATCGCGGGAATGATGTGGCTAAGGTCACCCATGTCTGTGGAGCCGCCCCGGTTTCGCGTGGGTGGCATCATCAGCACCCGGTTTTCTTGCAGCAGGTCCTTGGCGTTCCCTCGGAATACGTCCAAAAGCTGTTGGTCATGCCGCATCGGCAGGTATCCGGGTATGTTGGTGATCGACACCGACGCTCCTACTGCCAACGCTCCCGATCGGAAGCACCGGTCCACAATGTCGGAGTATCGCACCACGGCCTCCGGAGTACCGGACCTGACGCGCCATTCCAGCCTAACGTCCGACGGCACCGAGTTCACCGCTTGGCCCCCGTGCGTCATGATCCCGTGGATCCGCACCGTGTCCTGCTCCCGGTAGAGCTCGCGGTTCGCGTTGATCGCCTGCAACGCAAGGTTTGCCGCGTTCAGCGCGTTGATGCCGAGGTGCGGGGAAGAGCCCGCATGCGCCGCGCGTCCATGACAACGCATCGTACTGCCACCTGCCGTGTCGTACCGCCCATGGCAAACGCGTGCGATCCCATGTCGCTGGCGGTATGGCACATCATCGCGATGTCCACATGCGCGACACTCGCCCCAAGCGCTCGGTTCTGCTTCCGCCATGAATCAATCGTGCCGTCTCGCGCGAGGTCGGAGCCGCGAGCAACCTCGATGAATCCGACAGCGCCGGCACCGCGAACGGTACGATCTCCCCGCTCAGTTCGGGAAGCACTTCGGGCTCGCAGGACCGTCCATATCGCGCGAGCATCATCCGAGTCGACAGTGATGTCCACAGGCATGGGCCGCGTTGGTGGGCATTCGGCCCCGAAAAAGGGTGGTGGCCCCGTACGTTTATAGATCAGGCTGGTCCCACGTCCCGAAATCCACCCGCGGGCCGGTTCCCGCCCCACCCTTCACGGTGCCCTTGAGCCCCGTCAAAGCCAATGCCCGACGAGGGGGGCAGGCGGGGGGAAGCGTGGGGGGGCGGGAAGGGGGGGGGGGGGAAGGGGGGGGGGGGGGGAAATGGAAAGTGGGAGGGGGGGGTGTGGGGGGGGGGGGGGAATTGGGGGGGGAATGATTTGGGAATGGGGGGGGGGGAATGGGGGGACAGAATTGGGGGACATGAGATAAAAAAGGGTGGAAGGAAGGGGGTTAAGGGAATTGTGGGGGCGGGGGTGGGGCGGAAAGAGGGGGGGGGGGGGGGAAGGCAATTGGGGGGGGGGGCGGGGGGGAATTTGGGGGGAATTGTAAGTCCCAGCTTGCAAATTGCTCGGCGACCACCCGTGCCGTTCGGTATTCGCTGTACCCCGGTTCTGGGTGTTCCAGGATGTCTTTCGCCACCGCGATCAGATCGTCGCTGTGCCGGTCAATCGCAGCGCATGCCGCCTGCTTCAGTTCTTCGAGCGTGGCCATTGAGTTAGTTCCGTTCAAGAATTGTGATTGTGGAATTACTTCCCGATCGAGTATACCGGATCGCGCCCCACTCGAGTGGCGGTCGTGTGTTCAGCGAGCGTAAGCCCCGCAGCCCGCCTTATCCTCGGTATAAGATTCTTCGGCCGCCAGGGATCGCATGAAGTTCACGTATTCCCGCGAGGTCATGTCGGCCCGATGGTTGGCCACGGATTGGTCTGGATTACTCGCCCGCGTCAGCCATAAGGTCGATGACGGTCGAAGCCATCGCTTTGGCCCCGGTGATCACGGCCATCTGGTAGTCCTGCACCACGTAGTCCGCGCCGTGACCGATGCCCGTGGCGCCCTCCACAACATACGGATGCAGGGTCCGGAAATTCAACCCCCAAACACGCATCATCGTCGCCATGTACTGGTGGTGCTGCACGGTTTGCTCCCGCCGGGTCTGCCCTGTCGCTCGGTGAGGCGATTGTTTTCTAGGCTCCCCCATCAAGTTTTTGTCGGTCCCTCTTTCGTTGGTTGCGGAAAATTTCCAAGTCGCTTGGATACGGGCGTCTGCAGTCTTGGCAGAACCCCGGTAGAGGGTCCTGGATGTTCACCCGGTTCGCGCCCATCGCCATGGCCCCCGAGCGCAGGGCCCGGTCGGACCTTGCCCGATTGGCCGTCATGACCTCGCGTCAACGCCGTTTGCCCCTGCACGAAGAGGTTTCCATAAGAGTCAGCCGGCCCGGTTCACCCGCTTCGCCGCCTTCTCTCCGTGATGATCGGATGGCACGCGGACGGTCGGTTGTCCCAAGCAGAACGGTCTCGCCCCGGGTTTTGAATGTTCGCTGTTTGGACCATCGTTTCTTTTAGTTGTTCGCAGTGTCCGTTGGTTTCAGGTGTATGTGGTTTTTCCCCAGGTGCGGGCGCCCCGCACTGGCTTCCTCTCCCTTGTGTAGCCCTTTGTCTTTTTTTCAAGATTATTTTGTATCCTCCCGGCCTGACGGTCCCGTAGTTTGTACGGTGAGGCACATGTTTTGTTTTGCTGTTCGGCCCCGTGTGTGGTGGGTGCATAATCCCTTTCCATTTTTTTTGCCTAGTTGTTTTTTTTTTTGTGTTAAACCCCCGTAGCGAATTTTTTTGTCACAGCCTGAATGAATTCATGTTTTGTTTTTCCAGCACATGGACTTTTAAGTCGTTATCCCCTGTTTGGCCATCCGTCGCAGATCCCCCCACGGTCCTCATCCCGGTATCTTGCGTCTCGATGGTTATTTCCTCGGAGTGGAACCGGGCCTATGGACATTTTTTCTTCTTTTTTGTTTTTTATGCGGCAGCTGAGGTGTGGCAGCATCGTAATTCATCCACCGCCATCAGCGCTCTTTGGTCACTCCCAGCATCATGGCGATCTGGCACAGTTTTGACTTCCCCCCCCCCCGATCCCTCTTGGTGCCCGCACGCACCGTGGGCGGGCCTCCAAGTTTAAGGGCGTTCGCTATGGGGGTGTCTCGTCCTGGTGCTCGTTGACGATCAGGCTGTCCAACTCTCCCATGATCGCCATGCTCGGCCCTTCGCTGCCGCCGATGATCTCTCCGCGCAGGCCGGTCATTCCCAAACCGAAACCGGAAGGGTCACCTCTAATGGCCAGCGAACTGAACGCGCACATTTCCCACACGCGGCGTGTCTGACCCCTTCATTCCCGAAACCCCGGCTCGGGGTTGGCCAGGATCTGCTGGGACAGGCCTATCAATTCCTCAGCGCGGGAGTCGATTTCGGCGAATGCCCGGTCCTTCAACTCGTCTTTCGTTGGCATTCAAAGCCCTCCGGGGCAATCTCAGGCCACACTCGGCGACCGCGCGCGAATGGTAACATAACCCGTCGCCCCTGCCTAATAGGGTTGCCGAACGTCCGCAATGACCTCGCGTGGCAATCCGATCCGGATGCCACTGAAGCGCCGCGAATCCGTAGCCCGCCAAGTTATATCCGTAGCCCGCCAAGTTATATCCGTAGCCCGCCAAGTTATATCCGTAGCCCGCCAAGTTATAATCGAGCTATGGCTCTGCGAATCGTCGTTTCACCACAGGCATTCAAGCACAGCATCGGCGCACGCGAAGCCGCGTTGGCCATTCAACGGGGTATTCTCCAGGCCGCTCCCGACGCTGAAACCATCCTGATCCCGGTCGCCGACGGCGGCGACGGGACACTGGCGGCCCTCATCGATACTACCGGCGGCAGCTACCGTGAAGCCACGGTCACGGGCCCTCTGGGAGAGCCGCTCGCCGCCCGGTGGGGCGTGATGGGCGACGGTGAAACCGCGGTCATCGAGATGGCCCTGGCGTCCGGTTTGGCCCTGATTCCTGACGACCGCCGCGACCCGCTCCGAGCCACCACCCGGGGCACCGGGGAATTGATGCTCGCCGCCCTCGATGACGGCTATCGGCGTATCATCGTCGGCCTGGGCGGCAGCGCTACCAACGACGGCGGCGCCGGCATGGCGTCGGCCCTGGGTGCCCGGTTCCTGGATTCCCAAGACGGACAGTTGCCGGCCGGCGGAGCCGCTTTGGAAAACCTCACGAACGTCGACGCTTTAGCTTTGCATCCGGCGTTGTCGGAAACCACCATAGTCGGCGCGACGGATGTGACCAACCCTCTTTGTGGTGATACCGGCGCGTCCGCAATCTTTGGTCCCCAGAAGGGCGCAACCCCCGAAATGGTTTCCCAGTTGGATCGCTGCCTGGCGAATCTGGCCAGTGTGATCCGTTCGGATTTGGGCGTCGATGTTCTCAACACGCCCGGTTCGGGGGCGGCCGGCGGCTTGGGCGCCGGTTTGATCGCATTTGCTGGCGCCGAACTGCGCTCCGGAATCGACATGGTCTGCGATGTGCTCGACTTTGACCGAAACGTCCGGGGAGCCGATCTCGTGATCACCGGGGAAGGGCGTGCTGATCGCTCAACGGCTTTTGACAAGGCTCCGGTCGGTATCGCCCGCCGTGCCCGCCAGTTTGGTGTCCCCACCGTCCTGGTTGCCGGCAGTCTGGGCCCGGGCTACGAAACCCTCTATCAGCACGGAATCGACGCCATCGTGCCTATAGCGGAGGAGCCGGCGGATCTCGCATCCAGCCTCCGGCGCGGCTCCGAGCTCCTCGAGCGGGCTGCTGAACGGGCCGTTCGCCTTTACACCTTGGGACGCGCGGGATGATGCGGGCGTTCATCCTGGACACGGAACATTGGCTCCCCAGGCAACCGGAGGACGTTTTCCATTTCTACGCCGACGCATTCAACCTGGAAAGGTTGACTCCGCCCTGGTTGCAATTCGAGGTGGCTACTCCGGCTCCAATTACCATGCAAGCCGGCGCCGAAATCGACTATCGTCTGCGGTTGCACGGTGTCTGGCTGAAGTGGCGCAGCCGCATCACCGCCTGGGATCCGCCGCACCGTTTCGTCGACGAGCAGGTTCAGGGGCCTTACCGCAGATGGATCCACGAACACACTTTCGCACTCCACGAAGGCGGCACCCTGGTACGCGACCACGTGGAGTATGGGATGATCGGCGGCTGGTTGGCTGACCGCCTGCTGGTTCGCCGCGACCTGCAGCGGATATTCGCGTTCCGCCAGCAACGCCTGGCCGAGATTTTCAGCCCCTAGAGTCTCCGCTGCGGCCCGACGCCGGTCAACCCGCTGTTAGATCAACTGACTCGCGGGGACACGAACTGCAGCACGATGCCGGCCAGTTCCATGGCCCGTTCCGCGTCCACGTCGTCGAAGGCTTCCGACGGTATTCCGCTGGGCAAATATTCCGGGTACCTGGTGATGTCGTAGTACTTGTCCAGTTGCCGCGCGTCTGCTTTGATGGTGTCGAAGAACATCTCGAAAATCTTGGCGTCTTCACAAAGGTCGATCAACGAGTTGCCCCAAACGTCCTCCGCCCCGCGCCGGTACAAATAGGCCTTGACCGCCTTCTCCGCAGCCTGTTGGCTGAGGAAGCACGCGACGTTGTAGCGCCCTCCCTCGCGATTGAAACCCGCGTCGTCAAGGTCTTGCTCGGCCTGTCGGAACCAGCGTGCGCCTTCGGCAGCGAAATCAGGCATCGAAAATCACTCTCCCCCGTTTGCAGGCTTGGGCCAGCGCCGGCAGCGTGTCCTGCAACTCTTCGAATTCGGACGGCGTGTACACCTGTGCCCTCATGCCGACCTGCGAACCTATGTGGTAGGCGAAGAAGTCCGCGCGCCGCCCGAACGGACGGTCCGTTTCGTGGACAAACACCAAGTCGATGGTGCTGCTCGGCGAGTAATCGCCGCTCACCATGTCCCCGGTTAGGATCGCCTTCTCGATGCCCAGCGTCGGCAGCACGTCCATTATCTCTGATAGTTGCTGTTCCATCATTTGCCGTCTGAACTGGATGAACCCTACTCGCATCGGCATTACCCTACTCCTTGTTCAACAGCACCATGTGGACCTCGCGGGGGCCATGCACGCCCACTACGATAGTCTGCTCAATGTCGGCGGTGCGACTGGGACCGGTGATGAAATTCAGGTAGCTGCCCATGTCGCCCCCGTTCCGCACGTACTCCAGCCGTCGCAGGGCGAACAGGTCGTCCAGGGTACCTAGAAGATCCGAAGGCCGGACAATCGCCACGTGCACCGGCGGCACCACCGACACCAGCCGGCTCAGGCCCCGCCTTGGCAATACGACCACCGACCCCGTTTCCGCAATGGCATAGTCGGCGCCGGTTATTCCCATGCCCGACTCGGCCAGTCGTTGCCGCACCTCTGTCCGACTGGCTGGGCCGTCATATACCGCGGGCCAACATAGCCCGCCAACACCGGCGATTGCGGCATCCACCGGGATGGATTCGAACACCGGCTGTTCCGACCTCGCCACTGACGTCGCCCCCAGGCGCCGAACCAACGACACGACATAATCCAGTGCTTCCTCCCCTCCCTCGCACCGGCGCACGTTCCACCCTCGCAAGCCGGCAATCTCCGCCATTTGGTCCAGCAGTTTCGGAGTCTCCTGGGCAATCCGCGCCTGTACGTCTTCCGCCCGTGTTTCCAGCGTGGCGAGCTCTTGCGTCAGGACGTCGTATGGTTCCGAAGGCGGGCCGGCATCCCTGTCCAGCGCCGCCCGGACTGTCTCCCTAAATTGTTCCGATGGGATACCCATTGAACCGCTTTGGGTCGAGTTGTTGCGTATGAATGGGATACCCATGTGTTACCCGTTGCGGCCCTCGTTGCCGCTTCCAGACAGCTCGTCCCGCCAGATTTCGCCGAACGATCTTGACGCTGGCAGCGGCAGGTCTCGTGAACGCGTCCAGCGGGAAACCAATGGGAGGCGCGTCTGGCCCAACATTCCCTGTTTCGACAGGGGCCGCAGCAATATCCTGCCGATCCTGCGCCCCAGGTTCACCAGAACCGGGTTTGACATAACGGCGGCAAACCCGCGCGCAAGGAGACTGTCGGTATCTGAGCCAGCGGCCGGGTACGAACCCTGTCCTTCCGCAATGTTATGCCGCAGGTGCAGCAGCATTCGGGGGATGTTGATCTGCACCGGGCAGGCGTCTCGGCACGCTCCGCATAGTGTCGACGCATTCGGCAGGTCCTTGGCCTGTCCGATCCCAACCAACGCCGGCGTCACTATCGACCCGATGGGCCCGGGATACACCCAGCCGTAGGCGTGTCCACCCACTCGCTGGTACACGGGACACACGTTCAGACATGCCCCGCACCGGATACAGTAGAGCGATTCGCGCAGCGCGGGATCGGCCAACAGGCGGCTGCGACCGTTGTCCACGATCACCAGGTGAAATTCTTCCGGGCCATCCTCGTCGTCGGCGCGGCGCGGCCCAGTTACCATGCTCATGTAGGAGGTGATGCGCTGCCCGGTGGCAGAGCGCGGCAGCAGACGCAGGAATACCGCCAGGTCCTGCAACGACGGGATCACCTTTTCCATGCCGGCCAGGCCCACGTGGATGCGCGGCGCGGAAGTGCACAACCGGCCGTTGCCCTCGTTGGTGATGATGACCAGGGAACCCGTTTCCGCGACCAGGAAGTTGGCCCCGCTGATACCCATGTCCGCGTCCAGGAACTTCTGGCGCAGCACAACCCGAGCAATGCGGGCCATCTCCTCGATATCTTCCGAGTATGGGACGCCAAGCTGCTCTGCGAAAAGGGCGGCCACCTGCGCGCGGGTCTTGTGCAGCGCCGGCGCCACCAGATGAGAAGGGGTTTCGCCGGCCAACTGGATGATGTACTCGCCGAGGTCGGTCTCGAACACGTCGATCCCCTGCGCTTCGAGCACATGGTTGAGACCAAGCTCCTCCGACACCATGGACTTGCTCTTGGTAACCGTGCGCACTCCGTTGGCGCTGGCAATCTGCGAAACGATCGCGTTGGCCTGCCGTGCGTCCGTGGCGAAATGGACCTGTCCGCCCGCCGCGACCACATTCCGCTCCAGCATCTCCAGGTAATAGTCCAGGTGCCCGATGGTGTGCTCTTTGATCCGCCGTGCCTGTTCCCGCCAATCCTCCCACACCTCGGGCGTGACCTCGGCGATAGCCTCGCGTCGTGTGCCGTCAAAACCAGCTCCGGCACGACGGAGCGCCTGGCGGAGCTCTGTGTCTTTGACCGCCGCCTGAGAGGCGGAAACAAACTCGCGCGTGACAACTTCCGCCATGACTACCCAGCCTCGCCGTCGAGAATTTGGGCGATATGCCGTACTCGAAACGGCAATTGCTGGCGGCTCACCGCCCCGCCGATGTGCATGAGGCAGCCCATGTCGCATGCCGTCAAGATGTCCGCGCCGCTACTGGTCGCCGCTGCAACCTTGTCGGCCAACATCTCTTCCGAAATGTGAGGATACTTCACCGCGAATGCCCCGCCGAACCCACAGCACTGCTCGGCGTCCGGTAGCTCTACCCGAGAGACGCCCGGCGCGGCATCCAACAGGCGCGGCGGGGCTTCGGTGACCTCCATCTCGCGCAACAGGTGACATGACGGATGGTATGCAACCGTGGACACGCCGTCGGATCCGTCTCGCATTCCCGGTTCGTATCCGACCACGTCGACCAGAAACTCGGTGAATTCGTACACCCGTTGGCTGAGGTCTTGGGCTCGGGCGTGCAGTTCAGGGTCGTCGGCAAACAGATCAAGGTAGAAAACGCGCATCATCGCCCCGCAGGAGCCAGATGGCACGACCACGCACTCCCGGTCAGCGAGGATATTCAGCGTGCGCTCCGCGAGTTTCCGAGCCTCTGCGGTGAAGCCGGAGTTGTACAGGGGCTGGCCGCAGCATGTTTGCCCTTCTGGGAAGTCTACCGCGACGCCAGCACGCCGTAGCACCCGCACGACGCTGACCCCCACCTCGGGATAAAGCTGGTCAACGATGCATGTAACGAAAAGGGAAGCCCGGATGGGCTGCGGCTGGCTCAAATCAAATCCTCGATGGGCGGCGACGCAAGGTTAGCAGAGTGGTACCAATCGGACAAGATAAGTCCGGCGCCAAGTCTTGGTCTCAACCCCAGCGCTGGGTATCATATCTGTCCACCACCGCCCAGGAGGAGAGACACATGGCAGAGGAACTCGGCAGAATCACCCGCCCCGCTACCGCCAACTACCAGGGGAAGCGCAAGCTTATGCTGGCCCCGCTGATTCACCTCGCGGGCCCGTCGGATTCAGTGCCGCCTGAAGGTACGGAGATCCTCGGACGTTACTGGGACCAAGTCGACATCCAGGTTAGAGCAGTCCAAAACGCCTTGGGTAGTGTCGCGCACATCTTCCACGAGAACCTCCCCGAGGGAGGTCCTGCCGGCCTTGGTTATCTCGAAGCGACGGCCCAGGGTAGCTACGGACTGGCCGCTGGTTTGGTCGAAGCCGGAGCGGTTCTGGAAGCTACCGAGTCTATGGAAATACTTGCCGAATCGTTGGATTTGCAACGCTGCCTCATGCAACCGCTGATGAGTCCCACAGTGGCAGCGCGGCTCCAGGAGTGGTTCGGCGAAGCCAACCATCGGCGCTACGAATTTGTTGCCGATGCGATCAACGCCACCCTTGGCGAAGACGAAACTGGCCTGCTCTTCATCAACGAAAGGCATCAGGTCCAATTCCCCGTCGACATCGAGGTGATCTATATCGCTCCGCCCGCCTTGGACGAATTCCGTCGTTGGCTACAGAATTGGAGCGAAAACTTCCAACGCCAAATGGCTGAGCAGGCCGCTGGATCAGCGAATTCCGCCGAGGAAGAGGACGAACCCCAATAAAATGGCCCCGAGGCATTTGCCCGGGGCCACAGTCACGTGTTCACACGACACGATTTACAAATCAGCTGGCCCAGGCGTTGGCGGGAGCGCGAGGGAGTCGAACCCACCTACCCCGCTCGTCACGAGGCATAACGGATTTGAAGTCCGCAAGAGCCACCGGGCCCCATCCACTCCCGCGTTGGCTTGCCTAGCTCTCGAGCACGGCGTCGATCTTCCGCTTCAGGGCGGGTTTCGGCTGGGCGCCGACCACCTGATCTATCGGCTGGCCGTCCTTGAAGAAAATCAACGCGGGGATGCTGCGGATGCCGTAGCGCGCCGCGATATCCGGGTCGCTGTCCACGTCCAGCTTGGCCACGTTCAACTTGCCTTCGTACTCCAGGGCCAGGTCGTGGACCGTGGGAGCGATCATTTTGCAGGGCCCGCACCATTCTGCCCAGAAGTCCACCATCACCGGCAGTTCCGAGTCCATCACGTTGCTTTGCCAGTTTTCTCCGTTCACATTGATAGGTTCGGGCATTCTAATTCCTCCAGGCTGGATCGTTGACTAGCCGCAACAGCTCACGGCGGCAACCGTTGCTTTAATCGGCTGGGATGTCTCAAATATTATACGCCGGCTGTTGGGCGGTCAACTGAACCGGGCGCCACAGTGGGTCCCTGCGCTCACCGTCGCGGTAGAAACTCCGGAGCAACCCCAGGTCAACGGGACCACGGTTCCGCCCTGCTTATGCCCAAGATCCACTGGTGACGATCATCTCCGCAACCGCGCGTCGCCTCTGTCAAGACCGATAGGTGTTAGTATATTTCCCATGATCCAGAGCGCAGACACCAACGAGTCGATCCCACTGCAGCGCGGCGATGTCGTCGAGCTGGATCTGCATTCTTGGGGCCGCCTCGGAGAGGCCATGGCCTCTCATGCCGGGTCGGATGTTTTCGTGTTCGGAGGCATACCCGGCGAGCGGGTCGAAGCCGAAATCGTGGCCATTCGCCGCAAGTACGTCGCCGCGCAGGTTACGCGGGTCATAACCCCGTCGCCGTTGCGCGTCGATACCCCCTGTGAATACTTTGGCCAATGCACCGGCTGCCAGTGGCAGCACGTGGCGTACGAGGCCCAGTTGGCCGCCAAAACCGAGATCGTGAGGGACGCGCTGGAGCGTATCGGTAATTTCCACGCGCCGGAGGTCCGGCCCACCTTGGCGTCGCCGCAGGAGTACCACTACCGCAACCACGCGCGGTTCAACATTTGGCGTGAGAGCGGCAGCCTCGGGTTCACCCACCGCGAACGGCGTCGCTTTGTGCGCATCGACCGCTGCATGCTGATGCACGATGGAGTCAACGACTTGCTTGCACAATTGCAGGGTCGTTGCGGCGAAACTTCGCAGCTTGCGATCCGTTCCTCTCCCGACACTGGCGACTTCCTTGTCCAGCCGACACTTAACAACCCGGAGGTCGCTGTCCAGACCGGGCAGAAAACCTACCGGGAATCGGTCGCCGGACAGGAATTCCAGGTCGCATCTCCGTCATTCTTCCAGGTCAACGTTTGGCAGGCCGCCCGCCTGGCGGAGCTGGTCAAAGACGCCCTCGAGCTGACTGGCAAGGAGACCGTGGTCGATGCCTACGCCGGTGTGGGGACGTTCGCGGTCTTGCTGGCGACACACGCTCGTCGCATCATCGCCGTGGAAGAATCCACCGCGGCCGTTGCCGACGCCAACGGAAACGCGTCCGGCCACCCCAACGTCCAATTGGTTACGGGCAAGGTTGAAGAGGTTCTCCCAAGTTTGGACGTAACGCCGGACGCGGTGATCTTGGATCCATCCCGTTCCGGGTGCCAGCCCGTGGTGCTCGATACCCTCATTGCGTTGCGGCCCGACCGCATCGCTTACGTGTCCTGCAACCCTGAATCGTTGGCGCGCGATTTGCGCACGCTGACCCGAGGCTACCGGGTTGCGTCGGTGCAGCCCTTGGACATGTTTCCGCAAACTCATCACGTCGAATGTGTCGTTACCCTGGTGTCCAAACCGGCAACCGCCGAGGTAGTTCTCGCGTCGGCGTCTCCCCGTAGGAGAGAACTGCTGACTGCCCTGGGCATTGATTTCCGCGTCGCGCCTTCCGACATAGCGGAAGATCCGGAACCTGGTGAGACCCCCAAGCAGATGGTGCGCCGGCTGTCCCGCGAGAAGGCACTGGCCGTTTCGCTGGCCGAGTCGCTGCCGTCCGGCTATTACGTTGCCGCCGACAGTACCGTGGTACTCGATGGCGAGTCCATCGCCAAACCCGCGGATGCCGAAGAAGCCCGAGCGATGCTCACCCGACTGCGCGGTACGACGCATCAGGTGGTCACCGGCTTCACCGTTTACGATGCGGCAACCGGGCGCTGCGTCACCGACTCCAACGCCGCTGATGTGCAGATGCGCGATTTCAGCGATGCGGAGATGGAAGAGTCCATCGCCAGCGGCGTTCCCATGGACAAAGCCGGCGCCTATGCCATTCAGGACGCGGATTTCAGGCCCGCGTCGCTTCTGTCCGGTTGCTACTCCAATGTGATGGGATTGCCCGCCTGTCGTGTGGTGAAAACCTTGGCCGAGATGGGGTGTTCGCTGCCCGACCGTGCATCCATGTCGGTCCCGGCGGGATGCACCGTTTCCTGCACTCTGGGCTCAGTGTCGCCCTGATCGAACCGGACGCTGGACCGTGAACTTTTTCGGTATCGGCACCCTGGAGCTGCTGGTCATCCTGGTGGTGGCCTTCGTGGCTTTGGGCCCGGGTAAAACCGTCGAGGTCGCCCGCACCATCGGCAAGATAACCCGGGAGGCGCGGCGCACATTCACCGAGATCACGGACGCTGTCTCCTTGGAAGACCGTCCGGGGCCCGCTGCTGACAATACCAACCGTAACTCGCCGCCGTCGCCCCCAACCGATCCGATGCCGGCGCCGTCCCACCTGTCGGCGCAGGGGGCTCAATCCGCCGACGCCCCTGAAGCGGGATCTCCCGATCCGAAACCGCCTGACAGCCGATGAGCCAATCGATGCCCTTGCGGGAGCATTTCCGCGAGTTGCGCTCGCGTGCGTTGGTATGCCTGCTGGCGTTGCTGGTCGGGACTGCGGTCTGCTTTTACTTCTACGAGGAAATCTACGAGGTCCTGCTGCGACCGGCTTATCACGCCGCCGACGTCGAGGATTTCAAGCCGGTACGCACTGAGGTCACCGAATTCCTCAGCATAACCGTGCGGATCACCCTCCTGGGCGGATTCGTGCTGGCTTTGCCGGTGATCCTGTACAACGCCATCCGCTTCGTCGCTCCCGGTCTCACACCCAGGGAGCGCAAAATCCTGTTCGCTTTCCTGCCGGCGGCCCTGCTGGCCTTCGTGGGAGGCATGGCCTTCGGCTACTTTGTCATGATCCCGCCGGCGCTGAGCTTCCTCATCGGTTTCGGCAGCGAAGTTGCCGACCCGTTCATTCGGATCAGTAACCTCGTTAACATAATGGTCCGACTTCTATTCTGGCTCGGATTGTCCTTCGAAACTCCCCTGGTGATGTACGTGCTGGCCCTGTTAGGTGTGGTGAACGCCCGTAGCTTCGCCCGATTCCGAAGGTTTTGGTTGGTTGCAGCGTTCGTGATCGCGGCCGCGATCACGCCAACTATCGATCCGCTAAACCAGGCCATCGTCGCCGGCCCGCTGATCGTGTTGTACGAACTCGGAGTTCTCCTGGCCCGCTTGGCCGGTCGGCGGAACCGGACTTGATCGTCCCTGAACGCGGAACCGGCCAGCGAGTAACGGATAGCAAAACGGGCCCGCCGTTGGCGAGCCCGTTTGTCGGTTCAATAGTGGTTGGCGCTTAAGGCCGCGGCTCTTCCGACGCAGTCGGTTCCCCGCCGGGCTTGTCGTCCTCTCCCGTTACGGAAGTCTTGAACGACCTGATGCCTTTGCCCAAAGCCGATCCAACTCCCGGCAGTCTAGAAGCGCCAAAAATCAGCAGCACCACCAGTAGGATGATCAGGAGTTCGGTTAGTCCGAGGCCCGCAATACGCATGTTGGCTGTGTCTCCACGAAAGTGCTTTCATTCTAACAGAGGCCCATTGTTCTAACCACCGAGCCGCGGTTCCGCTACTGGTCAATGTGGCGCTCCATGACGCCATTGATCACGACCAACAGCGCAGGCCACGCCGTATCCTTCAATGCCTGCCGACATCGCGTTGAAACCAATCACTCCCGAACTGCCTGTCATCGCTCGTTCGGGCGGTTCGCGTTACCGAATTCGCAAGACCGGGCGTCATTGCCTTAAGAAAGATGCGATGAGGCCCGTCCCGGCGTTGCACAATTTGCCATATCCCACTAACATTCGTAGAGGATATCGGATTGCAGTGGTAGCAATCCACCTTTTCACACCGACTACATCGAAGGAGAATTCAATTGGCCGACCAGCCTAGTGAAAAATCAATAGAGAGAATGCGCGTTTTCGTGGACAAATACTGCGAAAAATCCGGAACATTCAAGCACCCGGGAGAGGGCGTCACCGAATCCGTGGTCTTGGGCTTGGCCCAGAACATCGACGAAATCGGCCGGCCACTGTGTCCCTGTCGTTTCTACCCGGACAAGACAGAGGAGATCAAGCACCGCACTTGGATCTGCGCTTGTGACGATATGCAGATCTACAAGTACTGTCATTGAATGCTGTTCGTAGATGAGGGCGGTCTGCCCATCACAGAACATCTCCCAGAAGACCACGAGGGACGCGCGATCTACGGCTTGGTGAAAGATCCCACGCCGGACAAGGGCCGCCCCCTGCGCCACAAGGCGGAGGAACGCGAGATTGAGCGTAGGGAACGTCCGTCTTGACAAACCCGTAAACTCGCTCAACCGAGCGCGGCTCTGACGAAATGGCCGCTCCCCACAGTACGAGGGAGCGGCCATTTTGAACCTTGCCGCAACTTGCCGCTGTCCAATGCCGCCGCTATAATGCCACAGTCCGCGCGCAGCCCGCGCCCCAACGGCGCAAGGCCGATGCAAGGCGCGTTTCGCTCGAATAATCCACCTGTCCGGAAAGATTGATGACGACCGTCTCGGAGTATGACGTAGCAATTATTGGCGGCGGCCCCGGCGGCTATGTTGCCGGCATACGGGCCGGTCAGTTGGGCCTGAAATCCTGCGTCATTGAAAAAGAAGCGTTGGGCGGCGTGTGCCTTAATTGGGGCTGCATACCTTCAAAAGCCCTCCTCAAAAACGCCGAGATCGTCTCCTACGTCCATCGCGCAGACCAGTTTGGCCTGCAATTTGAAAACTTCCGGGCGGACTACAGCGTCGCCATGAAACGTAGCCGGCAGGTCGTTGATCGCATGACCCGCGGCGTCGACTTCCTGCTCCGCAAAAACGGCGTCGACAGCATTTCGGGAACCGCGCGCCTCGTCTCGCCCAACGCGGTGGATGTTACCGGGCCGGACGGGCAGAACTCTCGCATTGCCGCCCGCAACATCATCATCGCCACCGGAGCGCGACCCCGAAGCATCCCGCCGCTCCCCATTGACGGCGAACGCATCATAACCAGCCGTGAGAGCATCGTCGCCGAGGATGTGCCCGACTCGATTGCCATCGTTGGCGGTGGGGCCATCGGCGTAGAGTTTGCCTACATCTACCGCATGTACGGCGCCGAGGTCACAGTCATCGAGTTGTTGCCTCACATCGTCCCCAACGAGGACGAGGAAATCAGCCAGCAGCTTGAGCGGGCCTTCAATCGTCATGGCGTTAAGCTGGTCACCGGAGCCGGTGTGACCGATGCCCAGGCCGATGCCGAGGGTGTAACCTTGACCATCGACAAAGACGGCATAACCGAGACCGCTCGGTTCGACAAGGTGCTGGTCGCCATCGGAGTCCTGCCCAACACCGAGGACTTGGGGCTTGAGACCGTGGGCGTGGCAACCGAAAGAGGATACGTCGTCATCGACGACAAGATGGCTACCAACGTGCCCGGCATCTACGCCGTCGGTGATGTGACCGGCAAGTTGGCCTTGGCCCACGTCGCGTCTGCCCAGGGCGTCACCGCGGTGGAATCCATCGCCGGCGAAGAGACCCAGCCGCTGAACTATACCTTCATGCCCCGCGCCACCTACTGCCATCCCCAGGTCGCCTCTTTCGGGCTGACCGAGGCACAGGCCATCGCACAGGGCTACGATGTCAAGATCGGGCGGTTCAACGTTCAAGCCAGCGGCAAAGCGGTCGCTATGGGCGAGAATGACGGTATGGTCAAATTAGTCATCGACGCCAACTACGGTGAGATCCTTGGGGGCCACATGTGCGGTCCCGAGGTCACCGAGCTCCTCGCGGAGTTGCAGATGACCCACCTGCTGGAAGGCACGACGTTGGAATTGGGTTGGGCGGTTCATGCCCACCCCAGCGTCGCCGAAATGGTGCACGAAGCCGCCCTCGACGCCGAGGGCCGCGCGCTGCACATGTAGTCCTGCGCACAGACGCCGTCCCTCGTCGGAACGGCGCCGCAAATCTGCCATTGAGGAAGGGATATGCTGAAAGCGGACGTCCCCGAATTTAACAAGTCCGACCTGCTCGGTTTCTACCGGCAGATGAAGCTCATTCGCGAGTTTGAGCGAGAATCGGAACGGCAGTACACTCGAGGCAACATCAAGGGTTTCCTTCACGTCTATAACGGCGAGGAGGCCATAGCCGTCGGCGCCATCAACACCCTGCGCCCCGATGACTACATCGTGACCCATTATCGGGATCACGGACAAGCCCTGGCTCGCGGCATGACCAGCAACGAGGTGATGGCCGAGCTGATGGGCAAGGCCACCGGATGCAGCCGGGGCAAGGGCGGCTCCATGCATCTGTTCAGTTCCGACCTGAATTTCATGGGCGGCTACGCCATCGTCGGTGGCCAGCTCTGCATCGCCGCCGGAATTGCCCTCGCCGTACAGTACCGCGGCGATGACCAGGTTGTGCTTTGCTTCTTCGGTGACGGCGCGGTAAACGAGGGGGAGTTCCACGAGGCGATGAATCTCGCTGCCATCTGGAACCTCCCCGTCATATTTTTCTGCGAGCACAACCTCTACGGAATGGGCGCGTCTTCCAAGGAGACCCTCGTCATGTGGGACTCCCTCCACGAAATGGCGGCAGCTTATGGGATGTCGCGCTACGAGGTGGACGGCAACGACATCCTGGAAGTTCAGGCATTGATGCAGAAAATCAACGCCGAGGTTCGCTCCGGCAAAGGTCCCGCTTTTGTCGTCGCCCGGACCTACCGCCTTCGCGGACACTCCGTCGCCGACCCCGCTGACTACCGTCCCGAAGATGAAGTCGACTACTGGGCCGGCCAGGACCCCATCCCGCGTTTCCGCGGCTGGTTGACCGACGAAGGCATCGCCACCGTGGAGGATTTCGAGGAAATTGACGCCAGCGTGGAAGAGGAGATAGTCGTCGCTGCTGAATTTGGAGAATCGTCTCCTTGGCCTGAATCCGCCTCGCTTTACGACGACGTTTACACCGACCGACCGACCGAAGGTATCCCGGCGTAATACCACCCAGTCTGGGCGAGAGGAACCATCATGTCGGTCATCACATATCGCGACGCCGTTTCATCAGTTCTGAGAGAAGCTTTGGATCAGGACGAGCGCGTCTTCCTCATGGGCGAGGACATCGGGCCTTACGGCGGAGCATTCGCCGTCACCAAGGGTTTTTGGGAGCAGTATGGCAAGCGGCGCATCAAGGATTCCCCTCTGGCTGAATCGGTCATTGTCGGCGCCGGCGTAGGGGCGGCTATGGCCGGCCTGCGACCCGTTGTCGAGCTGATGACCATAAACTTCAGCCTGCTGGCTATGGATCAGATCGTCAACCACGCGGCCAAGATCAGGTACATGTCCGGCGGCCAGTTCTCGATCCCGTTGATCATCCGCACCGTCACCGGCGCCGGCGCGTCGGTCGGCGCGACCCACTCCCAGTCCTTCGAGGGCTGGTACGCTTCCGTGCCCGGCCTCACCGTGGTAACGCCGTCCACCCCACGCGACGTGATTGGCCTGTTCCGATCCTGCCGTGACCTGAGCGACCCGGTCATGTTCGTTGAGCACATCTTGCTCTACGGCACGCGCGGAGAGGCTCCCGATAGCGGCGATTTTCGTATTCCCATCGGCCAGGCCGACCTCCGCCGCACCGGCGGTGACATCACGCTATGTGGCTACTCCCGCATGGCGTTGGTCGCCGAGCAGGCGGCCGATATCCTCACCCGGGAAGGCATCGAGGCAGATGTGATCGACCTGCGCTGCTTGCGTCCCTGGATATGCAAACGGTCTTCACCTCGGTCAAGAAAACGCACCGCGCCCTGATGGTCGAGGAAACCACCCGGCTGGGTGGTTTCGCCGGTGAGCTGGTGTCTCAAGTGCAGGAAGAGACGTTCGAGTATCTTGATGCCCCCGTGGGCCGGGTCGCCGCCGCGGAAGTTCCCATACCTTATTCTTTCCCGCTCGAACAGCAGGCTATACCCAATGCTGAATCAGTCGCGGCCGCCGCGCGTAAACTCGTCAACGGCACCTGAACCTCACCGGCCTTACAGGGCCGGCATTACCCCGAAACAACCGGCACCCACAGGAGAACATCGTGGCTACCAACGTCGTCATGCCCCAAATGGGATACGATATGCGGGAAGGCACCGTCGTCCGCTGGCACAAGCAGGAAGGCGAGACGGTCGACCGCGGCGAGGTGATCGCCGACATCGAGACTGACAAGGCCACGGTGGAATTCGAGGCCTACACCGGCGGAGTGATGGGACGCATCGTCGCCGAGGCCGGCGTTGCCGTCCCGGTCGGCGAATTGATCGCCATCATCACCGAACCCGGTGAATCCGTGCCGGAATTGGCTGCGCCTCCAGCCAACCCGGCCGCCGGCCCGGCCCCCACTCCTGCTCCGGTGGCTGCTGATCCCGAGCCGGCGGCTCCTGCTTCGCCTTCAGACGGCGGAGTGCGTGCTTCTCCCATCGCCCGGCGACTGGCCCGCGAGCGTGATATCGACTTGGCGTTGGTCGCCGGTACCGGACCCAACGGCCGCATCACCGAGCGTGACATCGAAAACTACCAGGCCCCGGTGGACGCGCCTAGCCCGGCTTCCGCGCCTGTTGCAACCGCGGCCGTTCCCGCGGACACGCGCATCGACCTTAGTCGGATGCGCCAGACCATTGCCCGGGTGACCTCCGACAGCAAATCCACTGCGCCGCATTTCTACGTCACCGCTGAGATCGACATGGGCAAGGCAATGTCCCTTCGCCGTGATGTGAACGACGCTTCCGACCCCGAGAACCGTGTCAGTGTCAACGACCTGATGGTCAAGGCTTGTGCGCTGGCCCTTGCCGGGCACCCCAAGTTCAATTCGTTCTTTCGCGGCGACCATCTGGAAGTTCATGGCGCCATGAACATCGGCATCGCCATCGCGTTGGAGTCGGGGCTGATCCTTCCCGGCGTCAACAATTGCGAGAGCAAGAGCCTCCTCCAGATCGCTGCGGCCACCAAGGACCTGATCGCTCGTGCCAATAGCGGCACCCTCCGCAACGAGGAGTACAGCAGTACCACGTTCAGCATTAGCAACATGGGCATGTTTGACGTCGAGAGCTTTACCGCCATCATCTACCCGCCTCACGCGGCGATCCTAGCCGTGGGCAGCGTCAGACAACAACCCGTAGTTCGTGACGGTGAGCTGGCCGTGGGGCAGACCATGAAGGCGACCCTGTCCACCGATCATCGCGTCGCCGACGGTGCCGAAGCGGCGCAGTTCCTCATGGAAATCAAGCGGGTCCTCCAGAACCCCGTCAGCCTGCTGCTGTAAGCCCGCAGCCAACCCAGGGAGCTCCTATCATGCCTCAGATGACCGGCGGCCAGGCTGTGGTCGCGTCCTTGCACGCTCAGGGTGTCGATACGGTATTCGGCATTATATCCGTCCACACCCTCGACCTGTTCGATGCGTTGTTCGACCGCCAGGACGATGTCCGTTTCATCGGTGGCCGTTTGGAGTTGGGCTGCGGCTATATGGCCGACGGCTACTCCCGCGCCACCGGACGCCCTGGCGTTATCCTGACTAGCACCGGCCCCGGCGCTGCCGATTCTGTCGGCGCAATGGGCGAGGCATACTTCTCGGCTTCCTCCATCCTTCAGGTGACCACCAACGTCGAGACCGAATTCGTCGGCAGCGGCAGAATGGCCACCCACGAGACCAAGGACCAGTTGGGTATGTTCGCCGCCGTGACCGACTGGAACGCCCGCATCGATCAAATCGAATCCATACCGGATCATTTCGTTGAAGCGTTTGTCCGTTTCGGCGAGCGCCGTCCCCGCCCCATTGAACTCGAGGTTCCCACCGACCTTCTCGGTCAACAGGCTGAGGTGGAGGTGTTGCGGCCCCGGGACCCGGACGTGCCCCAGGGAGATCCTGTCCAGGTTGAGCGCGCTTGGAACCTGCTCCGTAGCGCCAAACGCCCGGTGATCTTCCTCGGTGAGGAGATCCATACCACCGGCGGAGCGGATGACATAATCCGCCTGGCCGAGCAGATCGGCGCGCCCGTGGTTACCGGTGATGGCGCCAAGGGCACCTTCCCCGAAAGCCACCCTTTGTCTCTTGGTATGGCGCTCGGCAATCGCATCTGGGGTCAAAACCCCGTCCTGAACTGGTTGGGTGAATGCGATGTCGCGCTCGTCTTGGGCAGTAACCTGCCGTACCGGTCGACTTCCGGCGTCGGCGTCAAGTTGCCGGAAAAAATCATCCACGTCCTCCTCGACGGCGATTACATCGGCAAGAATTACGACACCGAGGTCGCCATCGCTGCTAACAGCGGCGCTGTGGTCCGCCAGTTCCTCAGCGCGGCCGGTGATGCCGACATCGGAACCGGTGATGAATATCGCAAAGGAAATCGCCGAGCTGAAGTCCAGCGTTTACTCCGGTCTGCAAGAGCAATGGGGCCCTGAGCTCCGTGCTTGGGAGGCCATTCGCTCGGTCATTCCCGACGATACCATCTTCTCCCTCGACGCCACCGTTCCGGCCAACCGCGCGGTGCGTTGCCTCCAGATGGATCGCCCGCGCAGCTACATGTATCCCCACGGCTGGGCTGGCTTGGGGTTCGGTTTCCCGGCCGCCATGGGAGCCAAGGTTGGCCGGCCGGAGTGCCCCGTCATCTGTGTAACCGGCGACGGCGGGTTCCAGTACAACGCCCAGGAACTCGGCACCGCCGTGCAATATGGCATCAATCCCATCGTTATGGTTTTCAACGACAGCGCCTGGGGAGTGCTTAAGGGCTTCCAGCAGGACCGCGGCGGGCGTCAGATGGCTACCAATCTGGTGAACCCTGATTTCGTCAAGCTGTTCGATTCCTACGGCATCGGCGGCACCCGGGTCCACAACGTCGCTGAAATGTCCCGCGCCGTCCAGGATGCCGTTGTTGCCGACCGCATCCATCTCATCGAAGTCGTGATGCCCGACGGTTTTCCTGCCTTCTGCAGAAACTGAACCGCGTCCACCGGTCGCAGAGAAAATTACCGGACAGTCGGCGCGTTGTCCTGAACGCCAAATTTCGGATTCAATCCGCCAAATCGGCGGCCAGGGCGGCTGAATATGCCGCGAAAATGTAATCCTTCGGGTTTCGTCTTGCGGCTAACACGCCTTTTACCGCGAGTATCATCAGCATTCGATTGGCGCCATTAGCGTTTTTTACAGTGCCGCAAGTGCCCGAAACCCCGCCCAATAATTCGAGGCGCGTCTATCCGCTCTCTCCCCGTGATTTAACCGAAGAACAGATCGCGGTCGCCTTCGCGATGACCTCCCGGCGGCCCGAACCCTTCGACGAAATTGCCCTCCAAGTTTCCGCCGAACGCGCCGCGGACTTCAACGAGCGATGGGTTATGGGATATGGCCATGCGTCCGTGGCCGAGCACGCCATCGTGCACCTCGCCGTCGAGAACATCTCTCGCCTTGCCTGCGACACCCTCGAAGATAATCGCCTCGCTTCGTTCACCGAAAAATCCTCCCGCTACCAGGTCATCGACCCCGAAAGTTTCCATGTTCCGCAGGAGTTGGAACCCGTCTATGACCTGAAATCCCGGTACGTCACGGTTTGCCGCTCTCTCTTCGTGGCCTACGCCCGGCTTATCCAGGGCGTAACCACCCATTTGGAGACCAACCGACCGCGGGGCGACAACGAGAGCGACGGCGCCTACGCCCTGCGCCTGCGCCGCCAGGCCACCGACGCCTGCCGCGCCGTCCTGCCAGCCGCAACGCTGACCAACGTGGGAGTGACGGCGAACGCCCGCACCCTGGAACACGCTATCAGCAAGTTGATGTCCTCGTCGCTCGATGAGGAACGTGCCCTGGGATCCGAGTTGCGGGAACAGGGGCGGTCCATCACGCCGACCCTGGTCAAGTACGCCGACTACAACCCGTATTTCGCCGCGACGCGAAGCCGTGCGCCCGGGAGATTCCAGCAGGCTGAACACGCCCCTAACTGGTCGGTCCGCTTGTTGGAGGTTGACGGAAATGCTTCCCGCAAGCTGTGCGCTGCGCTGCTCTTCCGCCGTGGCGACAGCTACGCCGATGCCATGGCTGCGGCGAACAGTATGCCAGTCGCAAACTGTCTGGAAATCATCAATGACGCTGTCCGTGACATCGGCCCTCACGACGCGCCGCCACGGGAATTCGAGCTCGTCGCCTTCACCTTCGAGTTCGTCTTCGACTACGGTGCCCTGCGCGAGTTCCGACGCCACCGTATGCAGACTTACGTTTCCCAGCCTTTGACCGTAGCCAACGGCTTTGACACGCCGCCTCTAATTGGCGAATCTGGGATGGCGGAAGTATTCGGGACGGCGATTTCAGAAGCCGATGGGTTGTTCAGGACTCTCGCCGAAGAAAACCCCGCTCTGGCTCAGTACGCGGTGACCCATGCTCACCGCCAGCGTGTGCTTTCCAAGATGAACCTGCGGGAGTGCTACCACCTGTTCAAGCTGCGGAGTTCCCGCCAGGCTCATTTCGCCATCCGTCAGCCGGTGTTGGAGGCCATGCGCCTCGCCGTCGATGCGGAACCGGAGCTGTTTCGGCATTTGCCCTTGCGCAATGCCCCGGATTGGTGGCCGTTCACCCAAGGTTAGCGGGAGCCGCCCTTACGGATCAGAACAGTCCCTCGTGAACCCGCAGTTGCGGCAGATGATCTTGCAACTGCGTTCGTACATCCTGTTCCCGCAGATCTCGCAGTCCAGCCCGTCGTCCCGCCTTGGCGGCTGCGGACTTTGTGGCCCTGTTCGCTGCGTGGCCATGTCTCATCACCTCCACCGCCACAATCCCGGCGGTACCGGCGGTTCTCCTATGATCCGTGCGGCGAGGAACTTTTCGCCCGTGGGAGCTGTCGGCCCGTGCCGTTCGTCCGGCAACAACGCCACCTCGTGGAATCCGAACACCGACTCGTCCAGTTCCAGTTCCTTGACTCCGGTTCCGTCGTTTTCGTTCACCACTATGCGGTCGATAAGAATCCGCTCGTCGTCCCGCGCCAGCCAGATCTGGTAAGTATCCGCCGGCATTCCAGACACCATCAGGACGCCCTGCTTCCCGGACGGATGAAACATCAGTAACCCACGAGCCGTCGGCTCGGTGCCCATCGGCGACGTCATTAGCAGCTTCTCTGTTTCAGGCTGCGCCGACATCACGGTGGCTTCCACCATGTCAGCCATTCCCTGCTTGACCAGGTCGACCGATTCGGATCCTTCGGTCGCCCGTGCGTCGGCCGCCTCCGACCGCGCGAGCTGACCGGCGTTCGGCGCTAGGTTAGGGGCGCCGCTGGACCGGCTGGCGGAGACATCCTGTTCGCTCTGGTCGCGAGGCTCCGCCGCGGTGGCGACCCGCACCTCTGTGGCGCGCGTATCCGAATCGGCTGCCGCCGCAACCGCAGTGCCGGCCGATGCCAGGGCCTCCGACCGCTGCCTCTCCGTCAGGTTGCTGATCTCCCTGTGCTGGGAGACCATGAAACCCACCGAAGCGGCCAGAAGCAAACTCAGTGCCCCGATAGCCAGCGGCGCGACCCAACGGCGCAATCGTTTCACCGACCAACGCGGGTCCGGCACCATTCGCCGCCCAACAGCCGCGCGAGCCGTCCGCCCGGTGGAATTGTCCAGCACGCGTTGCCTCAGACCCGCCGGCAGCTCGACCTCCGGCGTCGAGGCGGTGAGCCTTGCCGCCGTCTCTTGGAACCCCAGCAGCACCTCCTGGCAGTGCGGGCACCGGATCACGTGGTGGAACACCGCCTGGAACTCCGCATCATCCAGCGCGTTCAGCGCGAAGGCGGCCAGTTCCCCTTCGGGATGCCCCGATCCGGCGTATATTTCGCCGGCATTGTCAGACCACATGAGCTTCCAACGCTGCTTTCAGTTTCTGCATCCCCAACCGCATACGGGTCTTGACGGTTCCCAACGGTATCCCCAGCAATTTGGCGATCTCTGATTGGCTGTATCCGTGCCAGGCTGAAAGGTATAGCGGTCGGCTCTGATCTTCGGGAAGGGTCAGCATCGCCTGGCGCACCAGACTGGCTTCAAACCCGCGTTCCACCTGCCGCTCAACGCTCATTTTCGCGTCGGGAATCCGCTGCAGTGCGTCGAGTTCCGGGTATACCGTGTGATCCGTGGTCCGCCTCCGCGACCGGTACATGTCCACCACCTTGTGGTGCGCTACGGACATGATCCACGTACTCGGCGCCGCCATCTCCGGCCGGTAGCTCTCCGCTTTCCGCCAGATGTTGGTGAACACCTCCTGGACGGCGTCTTCGGCCAGTGCTTCGTCTCTGAGCACCGATACCGCCAGCGAGAAGACCCTCTGAGCGAAGCGATCGTAGATCTCTTCCAGGGCTTTCTCGTCGCCGGCGCCTACCGCGGCTATGCGTTGAGCGTCTTCGTTGTATGTGTTGTCTTGCACCACCCCTCCAAAGTTATCAGGGGTTCAGCGTTGCCTTGTTACCAGTATATACGCGCGCGCCACACGCTCGGATTGCACCGACACGACAGCAGGGCGGGGCCGCGGCTGAGGTATCTTCGGCGTCAGACCACCAGGCTGTCGAATATGCCCTGGATGTTCGGGAGGTTCTCCAACGACCAGATCAGTTCCAGTGCCTGTTCGCATTGCTGCTCCGTGATCGTGGGGCACGCCAGCCGGCGGAACTTGGCGTCCACGTCGGCGTCGCTCAGCGGATTTCTCCCGTGACCCTTGGGGAAACTGGTTTCCGCCACCTCGGTTTGGCCATTGGTTTTGATCACCTCGATGCGGCAATTGTATTCCGCGGGATACTTCTCCGTGAATTCCGCGTTTTCATCTATCCGCATCTTGTTGATGATCGCCCGGAGCCCGGCGTCCGCGATACGGTCGGAAGCAAACGTGGCCGGGGTCACCTCTCCGTCCCGCAGACCCACCGCCGCCAGGAATGGGATGCTGTGGTCGGCTGTTTCCCGGGTTTGCGGGTCCCATTTCTCGGGTTCGGTGGACGCGCTGCTGACCGCCGATCGATATGACTGGATCTTGATCGACGCGATGTCGTCCACGTCGATCCGATCGTGAAGCTGAATCGCCAAATCGATCGGCGCCTGCGTATGTATCTGTGATGGGTAGAATTTGAAGATCGTGTCCGTGATCCGGAACGGCGCGTCGTCCCCGCCCATGGTTTCAATTTCAATCGGATACCCGATCGCTTGCTCCCACAACCCTTTGCGCCCCTCGAACGGTTCGAACGGCCCGGTCATACCTTCCGCCGCCAATTGTGCCGCGAAGATGCCGGCCCGCGTCGCCGCGGCCGATGCGCAACCCTTCCACATCGACAGCTCGCCCATTCGAGTCACCCGCAAAGGCACGTTGGGCACCACCGCCAACGATATCGCGTGGCCCATCTGCTCCTCGTCAAGGCCCAGGACCTTGCCGGCCGCGCAGGCGGCGCCGATTACGCTCAGGACGCCCTGGTCCCACTGGTTGTCCGGCACGTGGTCCGCGATGCGGCAGAACGCCTCGTAGGCCAGCGCAATCGCCGTTATGAGCGTGCGCCCGTCGGCCTCCACACTGTCCCCCACCGCCAGCGCTGCGGGGATCATGTCGCTCGGATGCCCGCCGCCGGGCGAGAAGTACGAATCATTGCAGTCCAGGTATCGCACCATCACGCCATTGGCGAACCCGGCCATGTCCAGCGAGGAACGGTCGTAGGTTCCCAGTATCCTGGCGGAGGTCTTGCTCGTCACATCCCCCGCCAGTTTGCGAGCAACCTTCGCGGGTTCGCTCAGGTAACCGCCTACCGCACACCCCAGGGTGTCGGCAACAGTGCGCTTGACTTGATGCACTACCTCGGGTGGCAGGTCCTCGTACGTGAGATTGCAAGCGTAGGAGCTCAGCAGCTCGGTGGTGCGGTCCATGTGTCCCGTTACCTCTCTTCTTCTGGTGTGCCGAGAGACCCGACGGCGACCATTTTACAGTTTACCGGCCCGGAATTTCTCCTGGCGCTTCTTTAGCGAATCACCGCTTCTGCAATCCGCTCCATCTGGGCCGACATTTCCTCTTCCGTCTCGCAGTGCTCCGGGCGGACCACCACGCGGTCGGCTCCGGCGTTGAGGAAGTCCTGCACCAGCTGACCCTCCGGAGCCTGGCCGTACACCGAGATCGTCAACGATTTGGGATCACGCCCCCTCGCTTCGGCCAGTTCGTCCAGACGCTTGCGGCTCTCTTCCAGTTCGGCCGGCGTGATCCGATTGGGCAGCCAGCCGTCGCCCCAGGTGGCCACGCGCTGCAGAACCCGGCGCGCCAGCCCGCCCAGTATCACCGGCGGATGGGGCTGTTGAATCGGCTTGGGGTTCGACTTGACGGGCGGGAAATCGTAGTACGTCCCGTGGAATTCCGCTTCGTCTTTGGTCCACAGTTCTTTCATCACGGCCACGGCTTCCCGGGTTTGCGTCCACCGGTGGTCGAAGTCGCCGCCGAAAATCTCGGTTTCCTCTCGGTTCCAGCCGGCGCCGATGCCGAACAGGAACCTTCCCCCGCTGATCCGGTCCAGCGTGGCGATCTCTTTCGCCAGCAGCAACGGGTTACGCTCCGGCACCAGCGTGATGCCCGTGCCGAGCTTTATCGTGGACGTCGCTCCGGAGGCTCGAGCCAGCGCTATGTACGGATCGGCGAAGTGGGCGTAGGTCCACGGAATCTCGCCACCCGAGGGAAACTGGCTTCCGCTCTGCACCGGCAAAATCGGGTGCTCCGCGTACCAAATGGATTCAAACCCCAGCGACTCGGCCGTGCGGGCCATGAACGCCGGGTCCAGCGTATAGGCCGGCAGGGGTATGGAAGTTCCGACTGACATAACGTTGCTCCTTCAGGTTTGGTAAGAAGGGATCGTGTTCCTGTCGGGGTCGATCCCCTGGTAATCGGGAGAGTGTCTAACCAACTTTGGACCGCGTATTGATCGGAGAGACGCCGTTGTCAGTCGTCCGCCGCCACGGCTTCCCGCACCCCTACGATGGCGTCATATACCTCGGCTCCCTGGCCCACCACCACGTCCACATCCTCGGCGAGCAGATAGCCCTGTTGCACCAGGGTGTCGGCATATTCTCGCACCCGCGCCAGGTATTCGTCTCGCGATGCGTACCGTTCTTCTATCGAAGTGCGGGGGTCGCCCGACGCCGTTCGGTCGGCGCGGCTTACCGCGAAAGGAATGGCCCCGCCGACCACGGTCCCGCCCGGGGACAGCACCTGCCCGGTTCCGCCGATGTCGGCGTGCCGCACATTCCACCCCGTGTACGTTGCCAAAGGCACGGCAATGGCGGGAAGCCGAATGCCGCCCACCTCGTTCCCGTCGGCATCCACTGCGGACACCAGCGATGGATACCCGTCACCAACTCCCGGCGGTATTACCGTTGGCACCGCCCGGTCGGGCCCAAAATCAAGATGTCGCATGATCTTGTGGTGCTCGGGAAACTCGACGCCCGGCAGCCTGCGGAACCGGTCCGCCAACTGTCCCGCCTCGACGATCGTATTTGCCGCATGGGAAGGATACCCATTTGGTGGCGGATCTTCGTTATGGGTAACCCATTTGTCCAAATGCACGAGTGCCGCCCGCATCAGCGGACGGTAGTCGACGTAGTTCAGGGCTTGGGCGCCCCTCGCTCCCGAATCAGGGTTGGTGTCGGAAATCGGCAGATTCGCCGGCGCGTGCTGCGTGCCGCAGAACAGCCAGGAACGCACGTTGTCTGGCATCTCCGCGTCGGCGGTTCCGTCGGATATGACGTGAGCCAGCGCGCCGTGGCCGCCCCAGTATTCCGACGACGTGTTGGTGTAGATGATCTTGGGCGCCACTCCGCGCCGCGTCACCTCTGCCAGCACTCCTTCCGCGCCGGCCGGCTCCAGGTCCAGGAAGGGCGGCAGATTGTTTACGCTCCGGTTGGACAGGCTGGACGGCTGGCCGAACCGCAGGTTGAACTCACCCATCTTGCCGCCGGCTACGTTGGGCAGCATCCCCTCGAAGACGACCCGGCTTTCCTCATCACGGTTCAACCCCAGGTGCAACATCTGCCGTAGGAATCGACCGCTTTGGCTGCGTCCGTAGGCGTATGCGCGACCCAGGGCGCCGGCCAACGGGTTCGCGGCGCCGTCCAAATCGGTCTTGCCGTGCCTAAGCCAGGCCACGATATCCCGCGTGGCAAGCAGGCCGAGCCCGATCACCGGCGCGTGCGACGTTTCATAAACCGCCCGATAGACCTTGCCGGCCTCAAATCCGCCTTTCAGGGTCAAATGCGTCGCATCCGGTACCCGCCTGCCATCAACCAACCGGGCGAAAGCCCACTCCTCACGCGGAATGACGGTTTCGGCGGCGTCCTCGTGTTCCTGGACGGTCAGCACTGAATCCCAACTTTCCAAGTGGTTGGTGGGGTACGGCCTGTGGTCACGGTCGGACAGGAACTGTGTATCGGTGCGCGCCAGGGGCTGGAACGAGACCACGATTTTGCCTGAAACCGGCGAACCGTCGTCGTTCTTTGCGTTTGGCACGTTGCACCGGAACAGACCTGCAGCCTCCGGCACGTCATGTTGCCACCCGCACCAAACCAGGCTGTACCCCTGCCTCATCAGGAACCCGTTGCCTGGGTGCGGGTCGGCATCCGGCGGCGCGTCCGGCGCGCTGTTCAGGTTTTTCAACGCCAGTTCCTTGCCCCGGTTCAGCACGTCGAGCAACAGCCGGCCGTTTCCGTGATCGTTGTCCACCGGCTTGATGATCCGGAAATCGGAAGTGAATTCCACCAAACCGCCGGCGTTTCGCGGCGCCAGCGCGATGTCCGCGATCACCGCGTTGTCTGGATGCGCTGGATCCACCGCAAAGTGCGCCAGCCCGTCGATCTGCTCGTAACGGCCCGCGGCACTGAAAGATTGCCCTTCGGCAAATGCCTTCCTCGTCGTGATTTCCAGTTTGACTAGCGCCATCTCCGTTCACCTCCGGTCATCGCGGTTTCCGTTCCGGACAGATTCCTTGCATTACAGAATTTCGCTGGTGTCCACGTCAAGATCTGTGGGAGGTTCCGCTCCGGTGTTGTCTCGCCACCACTGCGCGAAGGGGTCGTCGCCCATCTGTTCCTTGAGCCGGCCCAGGTGCGCTTTGACCTGCACCATCATGGGCAGTTGGTGGTCCGCCGCCAGCTGGTGTGTCCGCGCCACCCATTCCAGGGCGTCGGGCAGGTTCCCTCGTTGTTCCTCAACCATCCCCAGCTGACCGTAGGTGCGCGCGGCCCGCAACACGTCCCGCGCGTTCTCGAAGGCGATGCGAGCCTGGTCATACCAGTGATACGCCTGATCAAAGTCCCCCTGCTCGTGGTAAACCACTCCCAGCTGCCGCGCTTCAATGCCCACTCCCCGCACGTCTCCCATATGCTCCCGGTACTCCATCGCTACGCGCAGCCATTCGTCGGCCTCGTCCGGTATCCCCCTGGCCTGCGCCAGCGTCCCCAGGTGATGAAACTCGACGATCATCTGCTCCGTCATGCCCAGGCGATCAGAGAGCCCCAACGCCTGCTGGTACCAGGATTGCGCGTCCTCGAACAGGTACTCCGAGTGGTCCACCGTACCCAGCGCGTGGAAGATGTGGACCGCCGTTTCCTCGTCGCGGTTCTCTTCGACTATCTCGCGCGCCCGGTGGTACCAGCTCCGCGCCTCTTCGTATTCGAACCGTAGGTGGCACGCCGATCCCAGGGCGCGAAAATCATTGACCATTTCCTCGTAATCGGGCAGCCTCTGGTGGATGTCCAGCGCCCGCGAGTACCACTCCTTGGCGGAGCCGTACTGGCGCTGATGCTGTCGCACTTGCCCAACCGCGAAGCAGGCGTCGGCAATCGACTCCTGGTCCTCGCCACCGTCGATGATCTCCAACCCCTTCTCCAGCCACTCGGAGGCGGATTCGTATTGTCCGCGCCGCGTGGCGATCAGGCCGTTCTGATGGTACACGGCCGCGGTGCGTGGATCCGTTTCCCCGTCCGGCTGCTCCAGCAGGTAGTCCAATAGTTGGCGGTTGAAAAGGTCGGCCCGTTCCAGGTCCATTCGCTCTACCGATTCCATCGTGTCTGTTCCCAGCAGGTATTGCCAGAATTCGATGGCCCCGTTGCCTTCCGCTTCTCCGGCGGTGTTCCCGATCGTATCCAGCAACTGACCCCGCAACCGCCGCAGCTCTGGGAACCGTTTCTGCATTCGGTATACCTGCGCCAGCGGTTGGAAAAGCACCTGAGCGTTGTCCCACTGCCGGTACTCCAAGGCCAGGCCCAGCGCTTGCGTCAGGTTACCCTCCTCGGCCAGCACGGCCGTGACCCCCGTGTCCTGGTTCTCGTACAGACTTTCCATAAAGTAGTCCGCGGTATCGGCATAAACCCGGACGAACTCCATTTCCAACTGCTGTATCCCATTGCCGGACACTTGCCGACCCAGCTTCCGTCCCAGGAACCAGGGCATGGATGGATTGATCTGGTATACGCTCGGAGAAATCGGTTCCAGCAATCCCGCAGCCTGCGCCGCTCGCAACATGGTCCGGCACGCCGCGTAAGACCGGCCCGTGGATTGCATCCCGCCTTCTGGAGACAGTAGGCTCCGCGACGCCCCCGAGGTCAGGTCGTCGCCCACGATTTGCCCGTATGCCCTCTCCTCCGTGATGTGCGAAAGCACGTCCAGCATGACCCTGCGCTGGAACAGCGAAAGGAACGGCAGGTGCGTTCGGTTGCGGCGCGACATCCGCGAGAAGGAATACTCCATAGCCGCGGTCAAAACGGCTCCGCGCCCTGGCTCACCGCCATCCGGCTCACTCTCCATGAGCCTCGTCATCTCGCTCACCACCGCCGCCGCCGGAACGTCCTTTACCGGAGGAACCGCTATCTGCATTGCTAGCGGGTGCCCGTCCAGGAGCCCCATCAACTCAACGAAGTCCCCGTCTACGCGCGTGGGCGCAACTTCCGCCTCGTGCATGATCCGGGCGGCCAACGCCAGGCGGTCGGCGCTTTCCAGCCCGCCCAGCGTCAGGGACGCATGGGGAACCGAAACCCATTCCTCGCTTGCTCGCCGGCCCAGCAGCAGCGCGCTCGTCCCGACCGGGCCCGTGGTCACTTCGCCAAGGAACGCTGCCAGGTTTGGCAGTTCCCCTCCATCCAACAGGCCGGGTGCCCCGTCGGGAAAGCCAGCGACGTTTTCCAGGTTGTCCCACACCAGCAACGAGGCGTTTTCTTGCAGGTACGCCGTCACCCACCGCCGTTGCTGTTCCGCGGGCATGTCCGCGAAATCCAGGCCCGCTACCGCCGTCCCGATTTCGTGGACCACACGCTCCAGCCCGGCCGGCTGCGAAGTTTCAAACGTCGCATAGAACACTCCCCCGGGATAGGCCACCCGCGCCGGCTTCAGGAACCATCGGCACAGCGCCAGGGCCAGTTCCGTCTTCCCCGCTCCAGTGTCACCCGACAGGTGCACCACCGAGTGCGCTTTCAAAGCCCTTTCCAGTTGCCGAAGTTCTGCCTGCCGCCCAACCAGTCCATACTGGCCGGCCACTGGTATCTGCAGTTCTTCCGTCGGCGCTTCTTCCGGATGGATTACCGGCGGAGCCAACGGGTCCGGTTCATGCTGGGCTATCACTGGTGGTTGGTGTTCCCGAGACTGATACACGCAGGGCAGTTGCCAGTCCCAAAACACCCGGCGTCCGTAGAGCGTCACCCGCTCCGGCGTGTCCATCAAACCTCTTCTGACGGCAGACACTGCCTCCGCCACTGTGTTGCCCTGCGCGATGCGCCGGTAAAACGTTGCCACCGCGTTCTCGGCCGAATCCGGATGCAGCGGAGCCGGCAGGATCGCCACTTGAGCGACGCCGGCGTCCGCCAGCGCCATCGCGGCCTCAGCCCATCCCGTTGACGGCGGAAACTCTGCCTGGACCCCTGCGGAAACCAGCGCTACGTTCACGCCGCCCGAAGCCAGCGTGGCGCCCAGGTCGCCAATAGCAACGGGATTCGGGCTGCCGTCGGCCTGCTCCAGCAGGAGCGTACCGTTTTCGCCCAGCGTCGCTCCATCAATATGAGCCACATGGTAGTGATTCGGGTTCCGTACCAGCAGGTCCTCCAGCGCCCTCAACGTGGCCGGTCTCGGGTTGTCCAAAGACACCTGGACGTTCAGCCCTTCCAACGCGGCCACCGTAGCGTCGGCCAGGCTGCCACCCGCGGCCACCGGTTCCGCCAGTAGCGGCCCGGATGTCGGAACCTCCAGCGCCAGCGGAGTCGTGGCGAGCATCAGCACGTGCAGCGTGTCTTCCTCCACCTCCGCCTCTTCCGCGTCGTCGTCCGGCAACTCAGCCGTCGACTGCCGTACCACTCCAACCAACCCGTTGATGAAATACCCCAACGACGGGTCGTTCAACAGCTCCCACGGCAACGACATGAACTCTGGGCGGGTTAGAAATGATCGTCAAGACGGCTCGATCCTCGCGCCCCATTCACTTCGTCCAATACCGCCCGGCCGCCGCTGTCCACGCCAAACACGGATTCGAACAACAACCGTCCCAAGTTGCGCATGGCCAGCTCGACCGCTTCAACCTGGGCGATGCCTCCCGGCGCCCCGCGCCGGTATTCCGTGTGGTACCGGTCCAGCGCGGCGCGTTCCTCCTCCCTGAAAGGTCCATGCCAAAGGCGGCTGGCGCTGTTTCGCGCGCCTCGCCCGACGCTTCGACCAGTCGCACCTGTACCTGTCCCACGTCGTGAAGATCGTGGATTTCCAAACTAGCGGCCATTTTGGGGAATTGCTCCTGTAAGTCCTGCAACGGTTGGTTGTCTGGATAGAGTGGACCGGTCGCGCCATTCGGGAGTCGGTCCGATGCGTCGGAGGTTGTGTGGGGACCTTAACCGATCCATTGTCGAAAGTTCTAGCCCGCGCTCAGCAACCCCCGCCATCCAGCGATACGCGGAAGGAGTTCCGACAGACGTCTGGCGACGGTTCAACGTGATTCCCTGTTGCTGAAGGCGGGAATAGATACGGCAGGCCGCCCGTGTTGTCGACCGGTCCAGTCACTCCATAGCCCGGTTAGGGCCTTTCCAAGGTGATTGCAAACCCAGCGTGGCAATCTCGACGGTTTGGAAAGCACGTTTGGGCATGGTCGGCCAGTCCCGAAACTGAATGCCACGTCGAAATGATCCCCGCAATGAAAGGCAACTTTGAAACTACCCCGTGACCCGGTTCGGCCGTGTTGCCACACTGTGCGGACTCACATATAATTCACGGCACTTTTCGGGCCAACCTGTTGACCTCTATGTAATCGGCGGCATTATACAACATAATGCCGCCGTTCATTCCCCAATGACGCACGGATAACCTCCATGACAACCCCAGACAAAATTCGTCGTTCGTGGTTACTCACCCCCGTTTCGCAATCTGAATGCGTGTCGTCCGCTCCGTCGGCGGGTGCCGACGTAATTGTCCTCGACATTGCCGAATTCGTGGCCGAACCCGACAAGCCAGCCGCTCGGGAGTCCCTGCGCGATTGCCTGATCCCCGCCAAATCCACCGGTGCGGAGGTGTTCGTCCAGATTGATCCCGAGCTCATGCTGGCCGATCTCAACGCAGCGGTGTGGCCCGGTCTCGACGGCATCGTCGTGACCCGCGCCGAAACTTCCGATCAGGTCGCCGCGATCGACGCCATCATCTCCGATCTCGAGAGCCGACGTGGCATGTTTCCCGGCAGCGTCGATCTGGTCCTCTGCCTGGAGACCGCCTTGGGGAACCATAACGGTTTCGAGGTCGCCACCGCTAGCTCACGCACTTGGGGGCTCTCCCTGGGTCGCGCTGATCTGGTCATGGACCTGCGGCCCGAACCGTCCGGCGAGATCCATCTGATGCAGTATCTCATGCAGCGTTTGGTGACCCTGGCGTCTGCGACCGGAGCCGTTCCCTTGGGAGCCTGGTGGCGCTTCCCCGATCGCGGTCTGCTCGCCTCCCCCGAAAACACCCTCGCGGCCGCCGAGCGCGGGCGGGCCATCGGTTTCAAGGGCTCCTTCTGCGTCCTGGATAATCAGGTTCGCCCCTTGAATGAAAGCTTCACCCCGAGGGAATCCGAGGTAGCGGCCGCACACGGTTTGTGCGAGGCCTACGCCGCGGCGACATCCTCGGGAGTTGGCACCGTGGTATCCGTGGATGATCGGGTGCTCACCCCCGACATTGTCCGGCAGATCGCCAATACCGTTGCACTCGCCGACGCTTGCTCAACTCGCGACCGTTTCAAGGCCGCCGCGGTTGACGGGACACCCATTCCGGTCCCTTAGGAGTTCCCTATGGCCAGCACATCGCGGCGACTGAAGCGGTCCGGTCTGACGATGCCGGTCGTTACCGAACGCTTCATCAGCAACGCGTGGCATCGCGGCTGCGACTACATCAATATGGACCTGGAGGACTCAGTCCCTCCGCTCTTGAAGGACGTTGCCCGAAACCTGGTCCGCGAATCCATCCCGGTCGTCAACAAGGGCGGGGCCGACGCTGTCTGCCGCATTAATCACGACCTGATGGAAGCGGACCTCAACGCGGTCATTTGGCCCGGCCTCGTGCAGGTCAATTACCCCAAGGCCGAGTACGGCCACGAAATCGCCCGCATGGACGGAATCATCACGCGCTTGGAGGCCGAACGCGGCATCCGGCCCGGCACCGTGGAGATCGGCGCCAACATCGAGACCGCCGTTGGCGTCGCCAATGCCTACGAGATCGTCACCGCCAGCCCTCGTGTCCGTGATTTCGGGGGCGCCGCCGGTTACGACATGTCTCGTGACCTCGGCGTCGAGATGTTTGTCGGCTTCGACCAATTCGTCTACGGTAAGGGTGAGGTGGAGCTCGCTGCGCGCGCCGCCGGCCGGGAACCCCACGCCGCTCCGTTCACCCCTAATATCACCGGCAGCGTCAGCGATCCAGACCGCGCTTTCGCCGAGGCGGACGCGGCCCGCAAGTGCGGGTTCCGTATCGGCGGCGGCTTGCACCCTTACGTGGTGGAGCCTCAGATCCGTGGTTTTGCCGCTTCTGACGATGAGGTTTCCGACGCTGAGTGGGTCCTCCAGGAATACCATAAGCTGGCCCGTACCGGCGCAACTTGGGTTCAGGTCGACGTTTCCACCGCGGACCGGGAAGACTCTCCCCGTCCCATGCCTGCCGACTCCTACCTGGGGCGAGACCGCGTTATTGATCGTTACGAGGCCGCCCGCGCGGAGGAATTGCTGCAATGGCGCAATCTCTGCCGCGAACGTGACCAAGACAAAGCCGAGGCCATCGACCGCGTCCGCGCGGACGAAGCTGAATAGTTCCCACGGCCAACCGGAGCTGCCCCCTATGTCCATTCTCGTACGACGGTCCAACCTGATCATTCCCGCTGTCCAGCAGCGAATGATCCGGTGGAGCTGGAAGCACGACGCCGATGCCATCACCATAGATCTTCAGGATGGCACTCCCGCCGGCGAAATCCAACAGGTTCGCAAAACCCTCCGCCAGTCGATAGCCCTCGCCGGCAAGGCTGGCGCCCAGGTTTTCGTCCGCGTCAACGCCGGATACGTTTACGCCGACTGCGATGCCGCCATTGGCCCCGGCTTGGCCGGCATTCTTCTCCCCGGCGTCGAATCGGCCGCTCAGGTGATCGAGGCCGCCGGGACCCTAACGGAATTGGAACGAAAATACGGCGTGTCCCACGGTTTGCTGGAAATCGCTCCTGCCATCGAGACCGGAGCCGGTATCTGGCACATCAGGGAAATCATCACCGCCTCACCCCGCATCAGACAGGTTGGAATCGACGAAGCTGCCCTGGCCGCTTCCCTGGGCATCGCTCAGTCCGCCGAATACGACGCATTCGTGTACGCCCGCGGTCGCGTGTGCATCGAAGCCACCGCCGCCGGCGTTCAACCTGTCGCCGTGGCCGACCCGATTGGAGTGTCAACCGGCCAGATATCCCACGAGGAAATGGTGAAAATCGCCACCGACTCTCGAAACCTCGGGTTCAAGGGTATGGTTTGCGGCCATACGAGTTGGGTCGCCGCTGTCAACGAAGCGTATACTCCTGCCGAATCTCTCGTCGATTACTACACCCAGGTGCGTGAGGTTTTCGCTCAGGCTTTGGCCGCCGGCACCGCCGCCGCTCCCTTCGCCGGCCGCATGATTGACGTTCCGGTGGACGAGTGGGCCAAGGACGTTATCGCCATGAGCGCCGCCTGTGCTGCCCGCGACGCCGAAAAGCAGGCGGCCCTCGCCTCAGCGGAGGCTTGGCCAGACACCTCCGTTCCCATCGTCCGCTAGGCTAAGCGCGCCTCTACGGGGCGCCGTCCGCGCCAGCCTCGCGTGGCCACAATCTCCCCGATCAACCGCATCGCAAAGTGCTGTCCGCTCCGTTTGCGCCTTGCCCTTGTCCTGATCCCCTGGTCTCCGCAGTGTGGGAACCGATCCCGGCGCACGGCCACGCCGATTTTGGATACCGGTATATTCGATCCGGTATCCTATTGTGGTTGCGGTTCCCACACCGGGACGCAACTCTAAAGACATCCCAAAATATACGCCCGACGTTGCCCTGGAGAACCCCATGATCTACATCGACGACGAACTCCGCCGCCGCATCGATCACGCACTGGAAGATCGCTGCCCCATGTTCATCGCCACGGTGTCCGCCGATGGCGAACCTCAAATCAGCATGCGAGGGAGCGTGCTGGTTTTCGACCGCGACACCCTCGCTTTCTGGGAACGCGGCTGGCGCAATTCTGCCGCCAACATCCAGAATGGCTCCAAGGTCGTCCTCTTCTACCGCCACCCAACCGAGCGCGTCAATCTACGCTTCTACGGCACCGCCACCATGTACCGCGAGGGGGCGATCCGCGATAACGTCATGTCGCGCACCGTCCAGGGCGAACTGGACCGCGACCCCGACCGCACCGGCGCCGCCGTCCTGGTTCGCCTCTACCGCGTCAATCAGCTCTCAGGCGAGGTCCTCCAGGAACGATGAACCGTTACTTAGTCGTTCCAATCACGCAACTCACTGCCCACGTGCTTCGAGTCGACCCGGGTCGGCCTTGGTATTCCAACGTTCTGGTCAATTCGATCATCAATGGCTTGATCGTCGGTGCGTCCGCCGGTTTCGCGATCGCCATCATGTCTCTAGTACCCGGTTGGAACGCGGTGTCACTAGCGGCCATGCCGACGTTCTGCATCGCCTCCCTTTTATGCGCTACGGTGATAGCCGTAAAATCCTGGACGCGTTGATCGGTCTTCAGTTGCGGCCGTTTCGGCGTTGGTTTGATACGCTCGCACTGTCCCAACGGTCTTGGTCTAGCCATAATGGTCTGCGGTAGCCAGTCTCTCCCCAGTTACGGCAATTCACTCTCATGGGATACCCTTGCATCGGTATCCCATTCAACCCATTTCCCGTGCACCTGCCGCCGCGCTGAATATAAAGTGGTGGCGTGTCCCCCGACGATCCTGCGTAACGAGACTCGGGCTCCCTCTGAAGGCATGTGATACACGGCCCGTTGTCTGGACACCTCTCTCAAAAGGCTGTCGAACCGCTGCCTCGCCTCCGCCGGCCATTGGTTGAGCGTGTGGCAATGAAACACACACAGCGCCGACCCCTCCGGAACGTCCTTCAGTACTTCGGGAAGTAGATCCACTGCGTCACCTGACCGAATCGTGGGCAGCGATTGTAACCAGACCTCCTTTGCCGCAGCCAACAATGCTCCCCGGTCCCGGTGCTCCGGCCACAGCAACGCCTGCATCCACCGGTACTCCTCATCGTCGCCCAGGTCCACCGGCGCCAGATCGATCCCAACCCTGAAATTCACCTGCGCAAACGCCTTCGGCACATCCGGCAACCCATTCCTGGCGTCGCACTCGATCACCACCCGCGAATCTGCCGGTCCAAATTCATCACCATTGGAGTATTTGTACCGGTACTTATCCCAGTTCAGATTCAGACCGGCGCTGGTTCCCACGTCCACCAACGCCAGCGGCTGGTCAGGATTTTCCGCTGCTACCGTCCCAAATCCGGGCATAAGATAGGCGCATCGGCCGACCTCGTTGGTCTGCACCATCCGCGTTTCCAGTAGCTCGACAATCCGGCTCCCGTGCGCCAGCGAAAACTCTGTAAACGCTCGTCCCAAATCCGGCGTCGGCCCATTGCCAGTTACCGCATGCCCGTAATGCCCGGCTAATTCGGAGCCTGGGAACGCCGCTGCCATCCGCTTGACCGCGGCAAAAAGCAGATTGGGGATCGGTTGGCCAACACGGCACCTCCGCGCCAGGCTGAGCAGGGCCGGATCGCTTGCCACCGTCTCGGATAGAATCTCGTAGGTTCTGGAGCCCGCCCCTTCGTCCGACGCTTCCGAACACTCCTCTACGGCAAACCGCCTCAACCTCTCGGCCAGCGCTCGGTCCGACCGTCGGTTCGGCGCGACGTGTTCAACCTCCGGTTCCCCAAGTGTTGCCAATGCGTTATGCGGTTCCCACCACCAGCGCGTCCGCCGCCTTGACCCCCTGTCCCTTCGGTAAAACCATCAGCGGGTTGATATCCAACTCGCCCAGCGATCCTTCCAGCTGTACCGCCATCTGAGAGACGTTCACCAGCACGTCGGCTAATGCGTCCACGTCCGCCACCGGTGCCCCTCGGAACCCGCTCAGCAGTCGCGCTCCCTTCACCTCGTCGATCATTTCCAGCGCGTCCTCCCGAGTGATCGGGCACAGGCGCAGCGCGACGTCGTTGTACACCTCCACCATCACCCCGCCCGTCCCGAACAGCAGTATCGGCCCCAATTGCGCGTCGTACGACACCCCCACGATGGTCTCGACTCCTCCAGATACCATCTCCTGCACCACCGTGCCGTCAATCCTCGCATTGGCGTCGAACGCCCGAGCGTTGGCGGTCACGTCTCCAAAAGCATTGCGAACCGCCTCCGCGTCACCCAATCCCAGTCGTATCCCACCTGCCTCCGTCTTGTGCAGGATGTCCGCTGAATTCACCTTCAGCGCCACCGGATATCCGATCCGCTCTGCCGCCGCCACGACCGACTCAGCGTCAGCAGCGACCTCCTCCCGCGTGGTCGGCACACCAAACGCCCGCACCAATGCCTTGCTGTCGTACTCCGACAATGCCCCGCTGCCCTCCAGCGCCTTCGCTGCTCCCGCCTGCTCGTCCGTGATCTCCCCAGCCTGCGCGAACCCCCGGGCCAGCCGTCGCTCCCGCCAGTCGTGGTAGTCATTCAGGTACCGCACACCCGCCGCGAGTTTGTCAGGGACGTAGAACACCGGTATCCCCGCCTGCCGCAGCATCGGTAGACCCGACTGCGCGCCCCGTGTTCCCGTCCACAGGAACGCCACCGGCATCCCGCTGGCATCCCGTTGCGCGATCACCTGCGTCGCCTGCGGGTCCGCGCCGGCCGATGCCACCACCAGTGTTCCGACGCCTTCGTCCTCCGCCATGTACGACATGATCGCCGGGAATTCATCGCTGTTCGCGAACCCGGTCACGTCCGACGGGTTGGCCGCCCATCCAAATCCCTTCAGTATCCCGTTGATCCCGTCCTGCGCCCGTTCTGATAGCGGCGGCAAGTCCAACCCCGCCTGCCCGAACATATCGGCCGTCAAACTGCTGATGCCGCCCGAGTGCGAGACCACCGCAACCCCCCGCTTCGAGGGCCGTGGGCACCGCGCCATCAGGTTCGACACCTGCAGCAGGTCGTCGTAGTCCTGCACTCGTATCACGCCGTACTGCGCGAACGCCGCTTCATACGCCTCGTCGACGCCCGTCAGCGCCGCCGTGTGCGACCCGGCGGCCCGCGACCCCAAATCCGACCGCCCGATCTTGATCAGCACGATGGGCTTGCCCCGTTCCGCTGCCAGGCGCGCCACCTCCAGGAACTTGCGCCCGTCCTTGAAACCCTCCACGAAACCCGCGATCACCCGCGTATCGTCGTCATCCAGTAGGTACCGCGCAAAGTCGCAGAAGTCCAGGTCAGCCTCGTTCCCCGTCGACACGATGTAGGTGAACCCGATGCCCTCGTCCACCGCCCGCGTCATGAACGGCCCGAAAGCCGAAGCGCCGCTCTGGCACACCAACCCGATCGGCCCGCTCAGTCCCGACGCTCCCCGCGACGAAGCGCTCGCCCAGATGTCGTCCTTGAGGTTAGCCAGCCCCAGGCAGTTCGGCCCGCTCACGCGCATCCCAGACTCCCGCGCGAACCGCCCGAGTTCGCCCTGCAGGTCCCGCCGATCGTCCACGGCGCGCTCCGCGAACCCGGCCGATATTACGATCGCCGACTTCGCACCCTTCTCGTGGCTCTCCCGCAGCGTGTCCAGCACCGCGTGGTACGGGACCACCACGCCAACTACGTCCGGCGCTTCCGGCAATGCCGACACCGACGGATAGCACTGCACTCCCTGAACCTCTTCGTATCGCGGGTTCACCGGATACACGTTCACTCCTTGATCCGCCGACCCCATCGCCGCCGCCAGGAACCGCCCGCCGTACTGCATTCGCGGCGTCGCTCCCACCACGGCAATCGATCGCGGGTTCAGCATCCGGTCAATCGATGCCAGTTGTTCGTCGCTCCAGAAAGCCATGATACATCTCCCTGAATGTAGGGGCGGCCCAAAGGCCGCCCGATCGTCCGTTCACCGGTCGTAATCATAGGGGCGAATAATCATTCGCCCCCAAACATCCTCGTCTGACCTGATACTTCCTAAGTCTCCCCGGCCGTCCGCAGGTCCGCCCGCCAGTCGTCCGGACTTGGCCCCCGGTCGATCAGCACGTCCACCACCGCCGGCAGACCCGATGCCCGCGCGTCTCGCAGCGCGTCGGCCAGATTCCTCGAGTCCGCCACCTGCACACCGAAGCACCCGAACCCCCGCGCTACCGCCGCGTTGTCCGTCTCGGCGAATTCCGACGCAATGTACTGACCCGGTGCCTGGTGGTGCCGTACCATCCCCAGCGCGCCGTCGTTGAACACCACGCATACGATCGGCAGGTTGTACTGCATTGCCGTCGATAGCGCGTTCACCGTCATCATGTACCCGCCGTCCCCTGTCACGCACACCACCTGCCGACCTGGGTATGCGACCTGCAATCCGACCGACGCCGGCAGTCCCCAGCCCATGCCGGCCGTTCCGCCTGGGCAGAAGAAGGTGTGCGCCTGCTGCGACTGGAACAGGTGCGCCATCCACGTCCGGTTGTTCCCCGCGTCCAGCGCGTACACCGTCTCCGCCGGCATCGTCTCCTGGAGCAGCCGGACCACCCGCTGCGGCAGCACCGGCGAAGAGTCCGTGTGCAGCCCGGCGTCCTCGTAGAACCCAGCGTCCTGCTTTCGATTCGGCAACGCGCCGGCCCACTCGCTGCGGTTCCTCGCCGTGCTGCCCGACGCCTCCGCCGACGCCTCGATCAGCTGTCCCAGGATGCTGCCGGCGTCGCCGATCAGTCCCAGCTCCACCGGGAACGTCCAGCCGGCGTTGCGGTCGTCGATGTCAATCTGGATGATCCGCTGCCCGCGCGGGTTGAACACCGTGGGCCGCTCGCGCACCGTGTCCTGCGGGCTCAGCTTCGCCCCCACGATCACCACCGTGTCGGCGTCGCCCACCGCCCGGTTCGCCGCCTCCTGCCCGTAGATGCCCACCATGCCCACCGACAGCGGGTGCGTCTCCGCGATGGCCGATTTGCCCTTGTAGCTGGTCGCCATCGGCGCGTTCCACTGCTCCGCCAGTTGCTGCAGCGCTCCGTGCGCCCCCGCCATGTGCACCCCGTTGCCCGCCACGATCACCGGCCGCCTCGACTGCGACAGGATCTCCACCGCCTTCTCGATGTCCGCCGGCGCCGCCTGCGGCTTGGCCGTGTTCAGATACCCCGCCGTGTCGTGGATGAACGGCGGCGACTCCAGGTCAACCTCGCCGCCGATCGACGCCGACCGCATCAGCAGGCACGCCGGACCCGGCCGCCCGCTCATCGCGTGTTTGATCGCCAGCTGCGCCCCCAGCGCCGCCTCCTTGGGCGACGTCGCCAGCGTCGTGTATTTCGTCATCGACCGGAAGATGTTGTGCAGGTCGATGCTCCCGTACTCGCCCGCCCCCGACTGGTTCGCCGGATGCTGCCCCACGCCGCCGTCCGACGTGTCCGTCAGCACCAGCATCGGGCTGCTGCTCAGCATCGCCTCCATGATCCCGAACGCCGCGTTCGAACCCCATGAACAGCCCCTGCCCCATGATCACCGCCGGCTTCCCCGTCGCCCGCGCGTACGCGTCGGCCATGATCGCCGCCGTCTGCTCGTGCCGCACCAGGTACGTGTTGATGGTCCCTTCCATGCCCACCAGATGCGAAAATATCTGCCCCGGTGCCGCCGCCCGGAATCCCGAACACGGCGTCAATCCCCGCTTCCTTCAGAAACTGCACAATCAGCTCACTAGCCTGAGGCATATCGGTCTCCTAAATCAGCGTGCCAGCATCAGGACGCGGCGCAGCCCCTGAACACCCGCCACCAACCACTACCCGCCGCCCGCCTGACATAACCATCTCAAGATTGCGCCGATAATACCCGCCCCCCACCAACCGGTCAACAAACCCCCACGCCCCACCCTTCACCAACCCCCACTCAGCCACAGCACGCCGAACCACCCCGTCCCGTCAGCGCAGCCCGCAATCCAATCCCCTCTCCCTCGATGGGAGAGGGCCAGGGTAAGGGTGAACACCACAGCAACATCCCCGCTCATCCTGAGCTCATCGAATGACCCCGTCATTGCGAGCAGCGCGGCGACGTGGCAATTCCGCCGCCCACGCAAAGACCGCGACGCCCCAATGCTACAATCAGCAACATGACCACCCACATCGACACTAACGACCCCAAATACCCTGCCGCTGCCGCCGAAATTCTGCAACGCCACGAATCAGGCCAGGCCGAGGCCAACATCACCAGCTCGGTACGAGACTTTCTCATCATCACCGGGCTGGCTCAACCCAGCGAAATCGTCGAGGAAAACCCACCTTCTGACGGCAGCCGCAGCGCAGTGGACCTAACTGCACTCGACACCTTCATCGAATCCAAGCGCCGTATCGGCACCGCCACCGGCGGCTTCAATCCCAATCCCCAAAACGTTGCCCAACTGGACGACTACCTCCGACAATCCCGAGATGCCGGCAAGGGCGTCCGCACCGGCATCCTCACCGACGGCAAATACTGGCTCCTGCGCTGGCCCGACGCCGGACCCATCAACACTTCGCCTCCTTACGGTTTCGTCCTTCAACCCGGCGACGGCTGGCTTGCCCTCCACAACTGGCTGCGCGATACCGCCCTGGTTGCGCTGGACAGCATTCCTGCCGACCGCGAAAACGTCCAGCAATACCTTGGACCCAAAAGCCCCACCTACCAGCGCGATATCGACACCCTCGCCGCCCTCTACAATACCCATACCGATTCCGAAACCATTAAGGTCAAACGGCGTCTGTGGTACGACCTGCTCCGTGCCGCCCTCGGCGAAATCGCCCACGACCAGGCCTCCCTGGACGGGCTCTTCATCCGCCACACCTACCTGAGCCTGGTCATCGGCGTTGCCGTGCAGGCTTCCTTCGGTATCGACATCCGCCAGCTGGCTGAAACCGACCCCTCTGACCTGCTGCAGGGTCGCCGCTTCCACGATGCCACCGGCCTCAGCGGCATCATCGAATCAGACTTCTTCGCCTGGCCCGACGAGGTTGGCGGCCACGACCTCATCCAGGCGCTGGCCCGACGCGTCGCCCGCTTCGACTGGCTCCACGCTCCGCCCGACATTGCCGCCATCCTCTACGAAACCGTCATTCCTCCGGAGGAACGCCGCACCTGGGTGAGTATTACACACCCAACTGGCTGGCTCGCACCATGGTGCAGGAACTGGTAACCGACCCGCTCAACCAGCGTGTCCTCGACCCGGCCTGCGGTTCAGGAACCTTCATCGCCGAAGCTATCAGCCACTTTCTCGCCGCCGCCGCATCTCCCTCTCCCCCCGCGAACGGTGTCACAGACGACGCGGAAAATACCCCCTCTCCCCTGGCGGGAGAAGGTTGGAGTGAGAGCGTAAACCTCGATCCCAAAGAAATCATCGACCGGCTCCGCGAGAACGTCATCGGCATCGACGTCCACCCCGTGGCCGTCCACCTCGCCCGAGCCGCCTGGGCCCTGGCCGCCCGCCCAGCGATCAACGCTGCCACCGCCGCCGGCTTCGACGCCTCCGGCCCGGTGCCCGTCTACCTGGGTGACGCCCTCCAACTGCGCTTTCGCACCGGCGACATGTTCGCCGAGCACCTGGTGACCATCCAGATTGATGACGGCCAGAACTCGGAGCTGACTTTCCCCATCAGCCTGGTCGACCGTGCCGAAACTTTCGATGCGCTGATGAGCCAGGTCGCCGCCGAAATCGAGGCCGGGCAGGACCCGATGATCGCGCTGGAAGACCACCCCATCGACGACCCCAGCGAGCGCAACACGGTTGCGCAAACCATCATAACCCTGCAAAAACTCCACGACCAGGGCCGCGACCACATCTGGGCCTACTACACCCGCAACCTGGTGCGACCCGTGGCCCTGTCCCGTCGCAAGGTCGACATAATCGTCGGCAACCCGCCCTGGCTCAACTACAACCAGACCGCCAACACCCTCCGCACCGAATTGCGCCGCCTCAGCACCGAAGTCTACGGCATCTGGGCTGGCGGCAGGTACGCCACCCACCAGGACGTGGCCGGCCTCTTCTTCGCCCGCTGCACCGACCTTTACCTCAATGACGGCGGCGTAATCGGCATGGTAATGCCGCATAGCGCCTTGCAAACCGGCCAGTACACCAAATGGCGCAGCGGAGCGTGGCGGGCATCCAACAGGTTGCGAACCCTTTCTGTAGACTTCGGGTTCAAGTCGGCCTGGGATTTGGAACGCCTGCAGCCCAATACCTTCTTCCCCGTCCCGTCGTCCGTGGTATTCGCCAAAAACGAGAGTCTCGCGGGCGAAGCGAAACCTCTGGCTGGAACCGTCGATCGATGGGTCGGCAACACCGGCTCTGACGATGTTCGGCGAACCACCGCCAGCATAACCGATACCTCCGCTGCCGGTGATTCTCCCTACGATAGTTATTCCCGCAACGGCGCAACAATTTATCCTCGTTGCCTTTTCCTGGTGACTGAAACGGAGAATCCTGCTTTGATACAGGCGGGGCAAACCATTACCGTCAATCCGCGACGTGGCGCTTATGACAAACAACCTTGGCGGGACTTGGACCTCGCTACCATAACCGCCCAAACTATCGAATCCAGCCACTTGTTTGATGTGTATTTCGGGGAGACGCTAGTTCCATACACTACCTTACAACCTATTAAAGCGGTATTACCCGTTTAAGCGGTATTACCCGTGAAACGTGGAGACGCCGTGATATCTGAACAAGTGGATGGATCTGGTGGTGTCCGGCTGGGAAATCTAGATAGGCGGATGCGTGATCGGTGGATATCAGTTTGCGATCTTTGGGACAAGAACAAAACGGTGGGGAGCAACCTAACTCTGCTCGGGAACTTGGACTATTTGCACAAATTGTCCTACCAGTTGCGTTGGAGGAATATTCACGCGGCCGACAAATTCGAATCGCCTACACAGCAAATGGTGTGCCTACCGCTGCTTTGATTGACGATGATATGGCCATCTTTGACAATGCTTTGATGTGGATCACCAGTCGAGATGAATTGGAAGCTCATTACTTACTGGCCATCATCAACAGTAAAGTTTTGTACGATGCCGTAATCCCTCTAATGTCCAAAGGCCAATTCGGGGCTCGAAACCTTAAAAATTTGATCTGGAAACTCCCCATCCCCGAGTTCGACGCCGCCAACCCGCTCCACGTCGCAATCTCCGAGGCCGGCGAAACCGCCGCCGCCGGCGCGGCCCAACAGCTGGCCCAACTCCGTGAGCGGCGCGATAACGTAACCGTCACCATCGCCCGCCGCGAAATCCGCAAGTGGCTGCGGGAATCGGACGAGGGCAAAACCGTGGAGGAAGTGGTAGCCAAACTCCTGGGAACAGGATAAGGAGCGCATCAGTGGGGCACGACCTAAAATCGGCAATCCCATAACAAACGCAACAACCCAAAATCCTGTCCATCCATGCCGGATTCGGCTCCCCTCTCCAAACCGATGACACTCTCCCCTTGCGCCCCCCCGATTCCAAACCTCTATTCTGAATCTCGTCAGGCAATCCGGCCCGAACTCGCAATTCTCGCCGGAAACGCCAATAACAAGGCAAATACGGTTTCGGGTCGGCAACGGCCCAGTCGGTTATCTAGCAGAATGGCTGTGCGCAGGCTGAACCCGCCTTACTCAACGGGAATACGCCAGACAGCCCGGCGGGTGTCACCACCGCCGCGTGCCGCACTACTCCGGTTCTTTGCAACCGGCTAACTGCGGGACACGCAAGCCTAGGACAAATTTATCTGCGCGTAAAAACAGCGTCGGGCCGTGCTCCGACACCGCCCCGAAAACGTAACGCCTGACACCATCGACCCAAACCCCACCACCAGACCAAAGGAGCCGCAACAGCCCAAAATCCTGTCCATCCTGTACATCCATGCCAAAATCGCAACCCCCCACCCGGTTGACCCCGTCGTCCGCCTGCCCTATCATCCGGGCCATCGCGGAGCCGCAGGGATGGGATTGGGTATGGGATTGTGGGGTTGCACACCGCTCCGCCTGCACAGAGAGGTGTTGCCATGCGTGGAGCCGAAGCCGTCATCAAAGCCCTGGAACAGGAAGGCATACGTTACATAACCGGGTTCTCCGGCGGTGGCCTCGCCCCGCTCTGGGGCCCACTGCGCCAATCGAACATTAGACCCTTCGCCGCCCGCAACGAACGCCTGGGCGTCGAAATCGCCGACGGCTACGCCCGTGCCACCGGAGAGGTGGGCGTCGCCATGACCGGCACCGGCCCCGGTGCCACCAATTGCCTCACCGCCATTGCCGGCTGCTACGCCGACAACATCCCCGTGCTGCTGCTGATGGGGCAACACCCCATGCGGAACCTGGGTCAGGAATGGCAGCAGGAAGTGTCGGCCAGCATCTTCGATGGTCTGTGCAAGTGGCGCGGCGCTTTCACCAGGGTTGAGGACATTCCCCAGGTGATGCGCCGGGCTTTCACCGCCCTGCGCTCCGGCTCGCCCGGCCCGGTGGTTCTTGAAATGCACCAGGACGTGCTCACCGCCGAGGCCGACGACGACCTGATGGCCTACACCGCAGTGGGCGCGCCCGGCAAGGCCGGCCCGTCCGATGCCGATGTGGCACGCGCCGCCGACCTGCTGGTGGGGGCCAGCCTGCCGGTGCTCAACGCCGGTGGCGGAGCCATGTCCGCCGGCGCCGCCGATGAAGTCATGGAACTCGCCGAGATGCTGTCCATGCCAGTGGCCACCACCATCATGGGCAAGGGTATCTTCCCCGAAAATCACCCCCTGTCCCTGGGTGGCGGCGTCTATCCCCGCAGCCGGTACGCTTCCGGCGCCGCCCTGCAGATCAACCGCAAGGCCGACGTCGTGCTTGCCGTGGGCAACTCCTTCCGCCAGCCCAACGGCACCGATGGCCGCCCCATCCCGGCGGGCGTCAGCATCGTTCACGTCAACGCCGACGAGGCAGACCTGAACAAGACCTACCAGGTGGACGTGCCCATCCTTGCCGATGCCAAGCTGGCCCTGCGCGCCATCATCGACGCGGTGCGCCAACGCATCGGCCCCGACGCCGGCGGCATCAAACCTGAGATCGCCGAGGAAATCCGCCTGTGCCACGAGAAGCACAACGCCGAGTGGATGCCCCGGTTCACCGACCGCGAAACCCCCACCAACGGCTATCGCGTGGTTTACGAACTGCAGCAGCTCATCGATCCCGACCGCACCATCGCCCTCCACGACGCCGGCGGCAGCCGCGGTTACATCGTCCCCTTCTGGGAGACCACCCGACCCCGCAACTTCGTCGCAATGGGCGGCATGGCAGCTATGGGCTGGTCGGTGGGCGCCGCCATCGGCACCAAGTTAGGCCGCCCCGACGACCTGGTGGTCCACTTGCTTGGCGACGCCTCCTTCGGCATGACCGGCATGGAAGTGGAGACCGCCGCCCGCATGGGCCTGGGTGTGCTCACGGTGGTCATCAACAATGGCGGCATCGGCGGCGGCATGATGGGCATGGAGAACCCGGCCGGCACCCCGCCGGAAATGGCTGTCCTGGGTGGTAATTTCAGCGTCGTCGCCCAGGGTCTGGGCGCTTGGTCCGAGCGCGTCGAGCACCCGGATGACTTGCGATCTGCCTTCCAGCGCGCTATCCAGGCGACCGAGACGGGGCAGCCGGCCCTGGTGGAAGTTATGATTCGGCCATTGGCCACGCCCGAACTCCCCGACGACTGGTCGCTGTAGCCCGAAATAGCCGTCTTTCGCCAGCGCCATTGGAGACTCGGAATTGGAGGCTCGGATATGAAAACCATCACCATTGACCGCAACAAACGGCTTCGGCAAGAGGCCAGCCTCGGGCACAACCGATGGCACCCCGACATCCCGCCCATCTTAGAGGCGGATCCTGGTGAGGAGGTGGTGCTGGAAACCCGCGATGCCTCCGATAGCCAAATCGTCCCCACCATGACCTCTGCCGACTTGGGCGGCCTGGACGCCAAGGTCGGCCACCCTCTCACCGGCCCGGTCTACGTCAAGGGCGCAGAGCCCGGCGACCTGCTGGAAATCGAATACCTGGACATCGTGGCGCAGCCCCGCGGCTGGACTCGCAACCGCCCCGGCGCTGGCTTCCTGCGTGATGTCTTCACCGAGCCTTACCTGGTCCACTGGAATATCTCCGATGGCTGGGCGACCTCCGAGCAAATTCCGGGCGTGCGCATCCCGGATGGGTCATTTATGGGCACTGCCGGGCTGGCTCCATCGCACACCCAGCTGGTGGCCTGGGCCGAGCGCGAGGCGGATTGGGTGCGGCGCGGCGGGCAGGCGGCGCCCCCGGACCCGGAGGATGCCGTTCCCGCTGGTGGCACGATCGCCAACGAAGGTCTCCGCACGATTCCACCCCGCGAAAACTGCGGCAACGTAGATGCCAAACAGCTCACCAAAGGCTCGCGCCTGTTCGTCCCGGTGGCGGTGGATGGTGGCCTGTATTCCGCCGGCGACGGCCATTTCGCCCAAGGCGATGGTGAGGTGTGCATCACCGCGATCGAGATGGGCGCCACCGCCGCGGTGCGTTTCGTCGTGCACAAAGGCGAGGCCGCAAGACATAACATGACACGTTTCCAAGGTTCGCCCATCCCGACTATTTCCTGCCTCCAGAATGGGCGGCGCCCCGCAACTTCATCGCCACGATGGGTTTCCCAATTCGGGCCGATGGGACTCAGGAAGGGGAAGGAAGCCTGTCGCTGGCGGCCCGGAACGCCCTGCTCAACATGATCGCATTGTTGCAGGAACGGGGCTGGACGGCAGAACAGGCTTACATAATATGCAGCGTGGCCGTGGACCTGCGGGTGAGCAACATAGTTGACTTGCCCAACGTAACGTCTCAGCGTTCCTGCCCGAGGGGATTTTTAGCGGCTAACCGGTCGCTGGTTTGGCGCATCCCTGGTATCGCTGCGAACCCGCTGCAGTCGATTTACAAAACTAACGCCCCGGCCTTTTACCACCGGCCGGGGCGGTTCGCTGTCTGTTGCCGAAGCAGCAAACTAGGCGCGTAACGAAGTCAGCTCGCCGAAGACCCCGCAACGTGCCTGGCTGCGGCCGGGGCAACCACCAGGTCGCCGCCGGCCGTAGTTTCAATCAGGAGTTGCGCTTTACTTCCAGGATCTCGCCGGGCGCCAGGGCGACGCGCCGCACGTTGATGCCGAGTTTCAGCATCCAGTAGCCCAGGGTTGCCTTACTGACGCCGAGGGTGTCGGCGGTGGCGGTAAGACCCTGGTCATTTACCAGGTCGGGTAGCAGCCGTTCCAGTGGGCTGTCGAATTCCTTTTCTACGCGCATCATCAATTTGGTTTTGCGTGCCAAAATGCACCTCCCGCTGTCTACTACACGGTGCCAGATTACTCGGACCGCTCGTCTGATTAGTACATTTCCTAGTGACTGCCTTGTGAGCGCTACACTAGCAAATGTTCCAACAGAAGTCAAGATGCATCCGAGAACTTAACAAGAATTTTTTTAGAAAGTTTTAGAACTGGCTTTGATACGTGCTTATTTTGCCACATCACGACCTGCGGTGCTAGACGTTGCAATGCCACAATTGGGCAATTTCGGCGGGTTTTCTCCGCCGGGCCGGTCGGCTGGGTCAATCGCCGCCGTTCGGGCGCACTTGAGACGGCCGTGGCTCCTGGAACCCAGTTATAACGGTAACGTGGGTTGCGCGGCGCCGCCGGGAGTGTACTTGTGTAATCCCGATGACGCCCGTTGGGACGGCGAGCACTACCTGCTGTCACTTGCTATCAATTGCGGATCCCATACGTCGAGCTACGCGAGCGCCTACTCAGTCAATGGCCACAGACCGCTTGGTAATGCAAGTAACCGACGAAATGTAACCAACGTTCGTCTCGCCGAAGGCGATCTGGACTTACCGAAATCGGGTATCACGAAAATGTAGCAAGCGAGTACATTGGTTCATACAGTGTAATTGGTTGCCGTTCAAATGTATTCCGGCGTAGCAATAATGCATTACTTGCGTACACTGATTCGACACTGCAAAAATGGAATTCATAATCGGTTACACTAAATTATCGCGTGTATTACTTCAATCAACGTGTAACGATAATCTGTACACGGAAACGTCTATTGCCAGCAGATGTAATCCAACGCCGCGAAATGTAATCTTGTGTAATCGCGGCGTGGGCGTGTAATACATTTCGGCTACGCCCTGCGTTTGCCGCGTTACGCGGTTGACACTCACCGTTAGCGTGCCTAACCTGATGGGCAAGGGTTAAAACCAGTACCATCCCTGAATGAGGAATCTGCTGTGAACATTCCCACCCTGCGCGATGTTTATCGGGCCCGACAGACCATAGCCCCTTACGTGGGGCGCACTCCGTTGATTTATTCAACTGCATTGAGTCAGGCTCTTGACGCAGAGGTTTATCTCAAGCACGAAGAGCATCTGCCGCTCGGTGCGTTCAAGGCCCGGGGCGGCATCAACCTCCTGGCCAACATGAGCGAGTCGGAACGGGCAATGGGGTTGATCACCGCCAGCAGCGGCAACCACGGCCAATCCATCGCGAGCGCGTGCCGGATGTTTGGCGCCCGCGCCATGGTCGGTCTGCCGGTGGGCGCCAACCCGAACAAGGTAGCATCAATGGAAGCGTTGGGCGCTGAGCTGATTTTCCACGGCGCTAACTTTGATGAGGCACGCGTGCACTGTGAGCAACTGGCCGCCGAAAAGGGCCACCGATACGTTCATCCCGTCAACGAGCCGGCCCTCATCGCCGGCGTGGGAACAGCAACCCTGGAAGTGATTGAGGACCTGCCCGATGTCGACGTGCTGATGCTGCCCATCGGCGGCGGCAGCGGCGTCTCCGGCGCTTGCGTGGTGGCCAAGTCAATGAGCGCCGACATCAAGGTGGTTGCCGTGCAATCCGAAAACGCGCCGGCGGCCTTCCTGTCGTGGCAGCAGGGGCAACTGGTGCAGGCTCCCATGCAAACGTGGGTTGAAGGTACGGCAACGGCGGTCGGGTACGAACTGCCGCAACAAATCATGCGGCACCGGCTGGACGAATTTGTCCTGGTCAGCGACGACGACATCCGGCGCGCCGTAGCCATGCTGGTGGAAAAGGCCCACACTCTGGCCGAGGGAGCCGGAGCCACCGCCCTCGCCGGCGCGGTGCGTCGCCCCGACTTGATTCAGGGCAAAAAGGTGGCAATTACCGTCAGCGGCGGTAACATAACGCTAGCCCAGTTGCGCGAGTGCATCGACTTGTACCTGGTCGGCTGACGATTAGCTTCATTCCGTCTGTGCCCGGCTTTCCAGGTAGCGGGCCAGCTCATCGCGCCTGAACTCCGGCAGGGGTTGATCGCCGGTACGGTCAATCAGCCACAAACCCTCGTCCGCTTCCATCATCTGACCGACTTCCCAACCGGTGATGCCGATTTGGTCCAGTGCCCGCAGCGCCCGCGGCACTTCCGAGGACGGCATGGTCGCAATCAGGGCCCCGGAGCCGAGCAGTCCCAAGACATCTATTTCGAGAGCATCACAGATGGCCACGGTTTCGGGAAGAACCGGCATCGTCTCACCCTCAACGACCAGCCCCAAATTCGAAGCGCTGGCTACCTCGCGTAACGCGGTAATAACGCCGCCTTCCGTGATGTCGTGGAGGCTGTGGACGTTGATAGCTCCACACAACGCTTGCGCCGCGCTCACTACGCTAATACCGGGATGGGACAGGTAATCGGCGGCGCGTGCGATGACGTCATCACCCAGACCGGCCCGACGCAGGTCAGCGGCGCACTCACGCGCCAATACGGCGGTACCCTCAATGCCCAACGCCACCGTAACTACGATGCTGTCGCCATCCTGTGCTCCCGAAGTCGAAACCAGTCGGTCTGCGGATTCCACCTCGCCCAGCATAGTTCCGGCCACGATGGGCCGCTGGATCCCCACCGTGACTTCGGTGTGGCCTCCCACAACGGCCACCCCAAGCTGGCTGCAAGCATGGGCGATGTCGGTGAAAATACTGCGGGCGTCGTCACGATTGCTATCCAGTGGCAGCAAAATGGTAGGCAGGAACCACCTGGGCTGACCTCCGCTGCACGCGATGTCATTGGCGTTCACTTGCACCGCGTACCAACCGATACGGTCAGTGGCGAACGTGATGGGGTCTGACTTGGCAATCAACAGCCGGCCTCCCATCTCGATGACGGCGCAATCTTCACCAACCTTGGGGCCGACTCTCACTCGTGGGTCAGTATTGCTGAACAACGCCAGCAGTTCAGACAGCAATTCAGGCGGTAATTTTCCGGCTTCCAATGTGCCCTCCGTAGTTGGATCTGGTGTTGGGTAGTTTAGCAAAGCCGCCGGTCCGAATGGGAACTTGGGATACGAAGCGGTTGGGATGTCGAATTTCAAGCGTGTTGCGACCGGCCGCTGGTTTGATATAATGGTTATCGCGTCATCCGCTCTTGATGATGCGGGCTGTACCCGGCGCATTCGTCTAGCGGCCCAGGACACCGCCCTCTCAAGGCGGAGATCAGGGGTTCGAATCCCCTATGCGCTACCAAAATATATCGCGCCGACGTGGAATTCACACGTCGGCGCTTCTGTTTTTGGGGTAGGCTGCCGATGCGCCCAATATGACGGACCCAACCACATCACTGGCGCTTGGCCTGGTGTTGGCGTCGGCCGGCGCCCACGCCTCATGGAATCTGTTGTTGAAACGGGCGCAACAGCAAGAGGTGTTCGTGTGGTGGCTCTCCGGGTTCGCCGTGTTGGGAACGTTGCCGATCGCGGTGGTTGTAGGATTACGGTCTGCCGTGGAACCCGTGGGCCTGTGGTATGTGCTTGCCTCAGCGTTAATCCACATCTGCTATTTTCTGTTTTTGGGACGCAGTCTGGCACGTAGCGACCTGTCGCTGGTATATCCCATCGCCCGTGGATTCGGTCCGGGGCTGGTGCCTATCCTGGCTGTACTGACCCTTGGAGAAACTGTTTCGCAGTTGGGATGGGTCGGCATTGGGTGCATCGTGGCCGGCATCTACACGATGGCGTGGTGGGGACAACTGCGTAAATTGGGGTTGATTTCGATTCGCTCGGTAAACACCAGCGGCATAATTTATGCGCTGCTCACCGGCCTGTGCATTGCCCTCTATACGGTTGTGGACAAACGCGGCGTCGCCTACGTGAGTCCATTCCTCTATCTGTATCTGACCACCTGTGGAGTGGCAGTGGGAATGTTGCCTTACATAATGCGCACCTACTCCTTTAGTACGGTGTTCGCAGAATGGCGTTCGCAACCCTGGGCGATACCGACGGCGTCCTCATTGGTGTACGTCGCTTACGGGTTGGTATTGACGGCAATGAGCATCACGGAAGTCAGCTACGTGGCCCCGGCACGGGAGGTCGGTTTGCTCTTTGGAGTCGTGATGGGTGTCATGATTCTCAAGGAGCCAATCAACACCGGGAGAGTAGTCGGAGCCGTCTTGATTGTCGTTGGGCTCACGCTGATCACGCTGTTTCAGTGAGCATACATCCATTAGCGGATATAATGCGGGTGACGATCAACATACTACCGCGACCAGGAGATGGAAAAATGGCTGAGCAGATGGGCTTGTTCGATGCGATATACAGTCAGAGGCAAATCACCCGTTACAAGACCGATCCGGTACCTGAGGGGGCGCTGGAACACATGGTTGACGCTGCCGTGCGTGCCCCAAACGGTGGCAATACACAACCTTGGGAATTCGTCGTGGTGAATGACCCGACGTTGGTGCGGCAACTCGGAGAGCTCTACAAGAACACGTGGCTGGATGGCATGGGCTGGGAACCCGGCCCCGATGAAACCCGCGTTTATCGGCACGCACGTCGCCTGGCGCACCATATGCCCGACGTGCCGGCGATGATCGTGATTTGCGCCGACCATTCGCGGGGCAGCGGATATCAGTCTGGCGAACCCATCGAACGAGGCCGCCACGCGGCATCTATCTGGCCGGCGATTCAAAACCTCTTCCTGGCCGGCCGCGCGTTGGGTCTGGGGACGCGAATTACTACCGTGCTCAATCGCAAGGAGGACGAGGTCAGGACCATTTTGGGCTTTCCCGAGTACGCCGAAATGATTTGCCTCACGCCGGTTGGCTACCCTCAGGGTAACTTCGGGCCCACCACCCGACGGCCGGCGTCGGAAGTAACGTCGATTAATGGTTGGGGCAAGCGCGGTTGGTCCAACTAACTCTCCGATTCTGTGGTGACCATGATGACCCAAGCTACTGTCAAGATTCAGGGTGTACGCTACATCGTCACCATGGACCCGGAGCGACGCATCATCGCCGATGGTTCGGTACTTGTTCAGGGTAGCCGGATCACCCAAGCCGCGAAGGCCGCCGAATTGACCGACGTGCCAGCCGACCGGGTGATTGACGGTGCCGGAATGGTATTGACGCCCGGTTTCGTCAATGGGCACATGCACATCAGCTACGCCCATGCGGTGCGCGGATTGTTCCCTGACGATCTTGGCGCCGATTATCTGCCCAACGTATTTCGTTTGCAGGCAGCGATGTCGGCGCAGGATGAATACGCTACCTCCCTGCTGGCGATTGCCGAACTACTGAAATACGGCACCACAACGTTCCTGGATCCGGGAACCACCACCCACCTGGACAGTTGCATCACCGCATATCGAGAGGCAGGCTGCCGCATCGTGGTGGGCCGCAGCGTGCAGGACAGAGAAAACCCCCTGAATCTTCCAGTCTACCCAACCGACGCAGCAACCGGGGTGACTGAGACGGTAATCGCTGAGTACCACGGGGCGCTGGACGGCATGGTTTCGGGATGGGCGATGCCTTTCTCCGCAGAATTCTGCTCCCCTGCACTGCTGGCGTCCTGTTACCGCGCCGCGGAGGCTGCCGACACTCGGATCACGTTGCACTTCACCAACGGGCCCAGGTGGATCGCCGAATGTCTCAGAACGCACGGGTGCTCACCCACTGAATACCTGGATCGCTGCGGCGCGTTGGGGCCGCGAATGACGCTGGCACATTGCCTGGGGATCGATGACCGTGAAGCGCAACTGATCGCCCAGCGCGGGGCGGCAGTCGTAATGTGCCCCACGGCAGCTGTCAAGGGTGGGGCCGGCATGACACACCACGGACGGTTGCCCGAATTGCTGGAAAACGGCACGACTGTGGGATTGGGCACCGACGCCGGAAACAATTCGAATCTCCTCGAAACGCTGCGATCAGTCTATTTGGCGGCCGTACTCTATAAAGACGGTCGGCAGGACGTGGGCATGATTCCCGCCGAGACTGCCCTCGAAATGGGGACTATCGGAGGTGCGGCAGCGCTGGGCCTAGAGCACGAGGTTGGGTCAATAGAAGTCGGCAAGGCGGCTGACCTGGTGCTATTCGACACGCGGCGGGCCGAATGGGGTGCATTGCACAACCCGGTGAACAGTTTGGTGTACAACGCCGACGGACGCAGCGTGCATACCGTCATGGTCAATGGAAAATTGGTGGTGGAGAACCACCAACTACAGTTCGTCGACGAAGCGGCGCTCGTGGGCGAAGTACAGGCTCGGGGCGAGGCCTTAATGAAACGAACCGGCGTTGCGTTTACCCCGCGCTGGCCGATTGTGTAACCGGACCGCCTGACGGTTACGGTTCCTGCTCGGCTTCGGGGATATCTCGCAGTATGTTCTCCAACGCCTGATCCAGTGCCGGGTCCAATTCTACCGGTTCTACGTAGGGCGTATACTGGTAGTCCAGTCGAACCTGGTCGATTATCTGTTTGGCTTCGTTGTTGGTGGTTCCCAGGCGTTCCAGGTTCTCCAACAGTTCCCGGCCTTCCCGCGTGCCCAGTTCCTCCAGTTCAGACAGGTCCATTTCAATCTTGAACAACGAGCGAAGCCGGCGCAGGATATCGTAATAAGCCCGATGGTCCTGGGTGATACCCACCTGGTTGTTGTTGCTCGTCATGAATGGATACATTGGGGCCATCGCCCCCATGCGGAACATTTGCACGTCGGGATATTCGTAGTGAGCCACGGACACCAGCGCCATGCCAATGGTGGGGCCTTGCCGACCTCGACTGCCATAGCTGGAGAATTGCACGCCGTGTCGCTCCAGCTGCGCCCGCATATGTGGTTGTGAATATACGCAGGTGATGCGCCGTTCCAGGTCGGGCGGCGCGGGTCCGTTCACGCCTTCCACGGCCACAGTTTGTTGGATACCCAGTTCCTTGATGGCCTCAAAGAACGCCTCGGCGTAGATGTCCAGGCGATACCAGGGCTCTTCGCCAAGGAAGACCAGCAGGCCGTTGCCAATCTCGTAGAACGCGTTTTGGCGTGTCATGGATGCGCTGGGCAGTCCTTCGTGGAAGGCTGCCGATGGACGGAACGCATCGTGAGTGCCCGCCACCTGAAACGGATAGCACATCTGATTGACATAATCGGTCATCTGGCCGATTTGACGACCAGAATTTTTGTCGATGAGATAGCGTGGCAAGCCGCTGGAGATGCGGCCGCCGTTCGACCACTGCCGCCGCCACCCGGCAATCAGGTAGTTGGAAACCGGTTTTTCAGTGAAGGTAAAAAGTTCTTCAGCCATAATGGGCCGCCTCCCTGCTGTTACGCCGAGGACGGGGCTAATATACCACAATAGCCAAGGATTACCGCCAAACGACGAATGTGCCTGCGGTGAATTCTGGAGCGGGCGTGCGCTACCTAGTTGCGCGAGAACCCCGAGCTCCCGCCGTAGCCCCCGGTTTGCTCGTTGACCAGGAATGTGGCGGTATCCCGCCCGTGGGAAGTATCAAGGTCCACATCGAAGCGTTGGCCGCCGAACGCGCCAAGCATTTCGAACCTTTGCTCGGTATAGAGGCGCCCTTCGTATTCCGCACCTTCAACGTTGCGCTCGTCTTCGCCAGCCAGGTACATTGACGGCCGTGGTCATCAGGTGGTTGCGGTCATCGTTATTCAGATAATTTGGCGCCCGTAAGAACACGTAACCCCACCGTATGCCCTGATGCTCCATCATGTCGGCCGCTCTGTTATTGTGCCAGGGCGTAGCAGGCGCGGCGTGGGTCGGCTCCGGTGCTCAACGATCCGTTGTTGGCGTCTCTGACTGAGACTGTTGCTCCCAGCCCACAATTGGCGGTGCGGGCAATCTGGTGTCCCAAGGCTCGCAATGCGTCGGCAGTGGACTCTGGTATGCCGGGTTCGAGGTCAAGTTGCCCGGGGTGATACACGTGGGGATAGAAAGAGTTGACGTTGCTTTGGGTGGCGAACCGGGGAGCCTCCACCGCTTGCTGCGGATCCATGCCAAAAACCAGGGTGTTCAGCATCAGCTGCACGTTGGCCTGCACCTGATTGTCCCCACCGGGGCACCCGACGGTCATCACCGGCTGACCGTCTCGCGTGATGATGTAATTCACCAAAGTAGTTCTGGGGCGTTTGCCCGGCTCCACCACATTAGGGTGCCCGGGCTCACAGTTGAACATTTCAATGCGGGTGCTCAGGGCGCAGCCCAACTCCGGGAAGAACACCGACTTGGAGAAAGAACCGCCGCTGATGGTGCCGCACGCCAGGTTACCGTGCTGGTCGAGCACTGACACGTGAGTTGTTCCATCGTCGGAGGACGCATCGGTGCCGACGCCGGTGGGGGCAGCCATGACGGGCGAGGGCGTGGTTCCGTTAGTCCTGGAGAATCGCCATGGGTCTCCGGCCGGGGGCTGTGCCGGGTACGCGCCCTCCGGGTCAATCATCTGCACGCGCTCGGCAGCATATTCCTTGGACAGCAAGCCATCCAGAGGGACAGTGGCGTAATCCGGGTCGGCGTAGAAGGCTTCCCGGTCGCCAAATGACAACTTGAGCGCCTCGGTGACGGTGTGGATGTAGGCCGGGCTGTTGTGCCCCATGGATTTGAGATCGAAATGCTCCAGCATATTCAGCGTCTGCATCAGCATTGGGCCCTGAGTCCATGAATCCTGTCCCCAGACCTCGCAGCCGTTGAAACTGGTCTTCACCGGAGTCTCAAACTGGCTGCTGTAGCTGGCCAGGTCATTCATCGAGATGATTCCGCCGACACGCTCCGATGAATCTACAATCAATCTGGCGATTGGCCCTTTGTAGAAAGCGTCTCGTGCCGCCTGCATACGCTGGCTGCGGGTTTTCCCGGCGTCCACGGAAGCGGCGCTGATGGTCTTCAGGGTGTTGGCCAGTCCCGGCTGCACCAGGGGCGCACCGGCGGAAGGCACTTGCCGGTTGTCATAAAACACATCCCACCCGCCCGGTGCGAAATTATCAAACTGTTCCTGTCCGGACTGTGCTTCCAACCGCCGCAACATGTACTCGTAATGAGGGATGCCGTCCTCTGCATAGCTAATGGCTGGCGCAATCACATCCTGCAGTTCCATGGTGCCGTATTTTTCCAGCATCGAGATGAACGCATGTACGATGCCGGGGAGCGTGAAGGACAAGGGGGCCTGCATTCCCGGGCCGGTGGGAATGCGTTCCAGCCCTCGCGAAAGGTAGAAGTCGGCCGAAGCTGCAGCAGGCGCCCCTCCCTGACCGCTCAGGGAAAGCAGGTCGCCGCTGGCCGAGTCATACAGCATGAAAACACCCTCGGCGGCCAGCGAGTACGAAGCGATAGGTTCCACCACGGCGGCGGCGAAACCGGCAGCCACCAGGGCATCGAAGGCGTTGCCGCCGGCCAGTAGAATGCGCATCCCCGCCATTGAAGTCAGGTAATGTCCGGACGAAATCACACCCTGCCGCGACCGCACCACCGGGCGCCCAGTGTCTGGCAGGTTCCAGTCACCTTGTTCAAGGTTGTGGTCGAGTTGTGCGCGTACCATCTCAGCTCCTTGGGTTGCTTGAATTCAGAACGTGCCGGTCCACCGCAAAGCCGTGGGTCTATTATAGGGAAAACTGAAGAAATTGTGGTGGGCGGTGCAGGACTCGAACCTGCGACCTTCTGCGTGTAAAGCAGACGCTCTAACCATCTGAGCTAACCGCCCGATTCGTTGCCGTTCCGGCGCGGGCAAAAAATGGTGCGCTTGGCGGGATTCGAACCCACGACCTCTGCCTCCGCAGGGCAGCGCTCTATCCACTGAGCTACAAGCGCGTATCGAAGAGTACCCGTGTGTTGTTTGGTGCCGAGGGAGGGATTTGAACCCACACGTCCTAAAGGACACTGCGCCCTGAACGCAGCGCGTCTGCCGTTTCGCCACCTCGGCCGGGTGGACTGCTCCGTATTGAAAGTCGCTCACTGCGGCATAAAGTGGTGGGCGATGGAGGATTTGAACCTCCGACCTCCTCGGTGTGAACGAGGCACTCTAACCACTGAGCTAACCGCCCCAGCGCGACTTCTGCCGGATATTATAGACCCCGGCAGTCAAACGGCGCAACCGAGGACTGCCAGCCAAGCCGGCACAACATCCGCGGAAGTTGACCATAGGCGTAGGTTATGTAAATCCAGCCGTCGGGAACCGCATGTAGTGTACATAACACATCTTGTGCGAACCAACGTGTTTCCGAAAAGAAAGGCGCCAACCGGCCAGGATTGACGCCTACTTCTGCTCGGAGAGCGAGTGCCCGATTCTACTCGGTAACCGAGATTCCGACCGCGCCGGCCTCGGTCAGGTCTTTGAAGGCCTGCGAGTCGTAACCCAACTCGGTCAGTACCTCTTCGTTGTGCTGTCCCAACAGGGGCGGCGGACGGCGCAGCACGGCCGGAGTGCCAGTCAGTTTTAGCGGCGAATTGGGAACCCGAAGATCGGGAACCCGCGGGTGGTTGATTTCCAGGAACATGTTGCGGGCTTTGACCTGGTCGTCGGCCACCACGTCGGAGGTTTTGTTGATTGGCCCAACCGGTACGCCGGCCTCGTCGATTACCTTGACCCAGTGGGCAGATGTGTGATCGGCGAAGATGCTGTTGAGCTGGTTAACCAGCTCCGTCCGATGCGTCACCCGATCCGGATTGGTGGCGTATTTGGGATCGTCTTTTAGTTCGGGGTGGCCGATGGCGCTACAGAAGCGTTCCCAGAGGTTGGGGTTGGCCACGCCGAGGATGAAAAACCCGTCTGATGCCTGGAAGCTCTGGTAGGGGACCAGACTCGGGTGCCCGGAGCCCAAGCGGTGGGGCTCGACGCCGGTGCCGATGTAGCCGGTGGCGTGGTAACTCATGGCGGCGACCTGACCGTCCAACAGCGACGTGTCGATCAGTTGGCCATCGCCCGTCTTGTCGCGGTGGTACAGGGCGGTGACGATGGAACCGTAGGCCATCATGCCGGTGAACAGGTCAAACCAGAGAGAATCCCACCCGCTGGGGCGGGCCGTCGGGTTCCCCGGTGAGGTGCATTAATCCGCTATAGGCCTGAATTACCAGGTCGTAGCCGGGCTTGTTGGCCATGGGGCCGGTGCGGCCGTAACCGGAGATAGTGCAGTACACAATGTCGGGGTTGAGCGCCTTGATGTCCTCGTAGCCAAGACCCATTCGGGCGAGGGCGCCGGCGCGGAAGCTTTCGATCATCACGTCAGCCTCGGTCGCCAGCTGTTTGACGATGGACAGACCCTCCTCAGACTTAAGGTTGACTTGACAGGCTCCTCTTGTTCCGATTGAAGGAGAGGAACTGGGTGCTTTCTTCGTTCCAGATTGGGGGCCAATGGCGGGTTTCGTCACCGGTGTTGGGCTCTTCGATTTTGATGACGTCGGCGCCCATGTCAGCCAGGTTCTGCGTGCAGAACGGTCCGGCCAGGGTGCGCGTAAGGTCGACGACCTTGATATTCTCCAGAGGCTGAGGCATCGTTCCATCCCTCACTATGTCAAGTTGCGGCATTATAGCACGGTGCATGGGCACTTCCCGGTTGACCTTATGGTGGATCGATTATGGTCAACAAACGCCCACCCGATACAATCACATGAAGCGTTGACCTGGTTTGATCTCGGATGTTACGGTGCGCCATTAGCTCGCCGGCCAACGCACGACCCAACGCGCGATATTGATGAATACAACCGCCAACCGCCCTCTGATTGTCTCGTTGGGCGGCATAAATATGGACCTGGTGACCTTTGCCGAGCGCCTGCCGCAAGACGGAGAGACCGTGGTGGGTGAACGATTCGTTACCTATCCCGGCGGGAAGGGCGCTAACCAGGCGGTGGCCGTTGCGCGGCTCGGCATGCCGGCAGCGATGGTGGGTCGCGTTGGGGATGATACGTTCGGCCCGCAACTGGTTGAGTTGCTGCAGTCTGCTGGTGTCGACACGCGGGGAGTCGGAATCACCAGCAATGCCAGTTCAGGCATTGCGGTCATCAGCATAGGCGAAGGGGCTCAAAACCGCATTGTGCAGGTCCTGGGAGCCAACAACACCTGCGGCGCTGCCGAGTTTGACGTGGTGGCCGGGTTATTGCCGAGGGCGTCCGCTCTGATGTTGCAGCTGGAAGTGTCGGTGAATTTGTCAATGAGAGTTGCCGGCCTGGCGGCGCAGCAGGGGGTATCGGTGATGCTGGATCCGGGCCCAGTGCGGCCCATTCCTGCGGAGTTCTTTGCCAGCGTGTCCATCATCACGCCCAACGAAACGGAAGCCGAGGCGTTGGTTGGATTCCCGATCGTCGACCTGAACGCGGCTCAGGCGGCTGCGAATGAGTTGATACGTCGTGGAGTCGGTGCGGCGGTTATCAAGATGGGCTCTCAGGGTGCGTATTGGTGTGATGGCTCTACCAGCGGGCACGAGCCGGCATTCCCGGTAATGGCAGTGGATACGGTGGCCGCGGGCGATGCGTTCAACGGGGCATTAGCGACGGCGTTGGCTACGGGTCAATCGTTGCCGGATGCCGTGCGCTGGGCTTCGGCGGCGGGCGCGGTGGCGGTTACCAAAATCGGAGCGCAAGATTCCATGCCCACCTTCGCGGAAGTTGCCGCCCTTGCCGCCACCCGTTCCGCCACGGGTTCCAGTTGATCCCCGAGTTTGCGATTGATTCATAGCGTTATGTCAATGGTGGTATCTTCTGACGATGATCGGCGACGATAAGTTCTGCTCGGTGTGCGCGGCACGCTTGGAAATGCGGCAGCATGAGGGAAACCCCCGCCCGGTGTGCCCGTCGTGCGGTAAAGTCGTCTATCTAGATCCCAAGCTGGCCACGGCCTGCATTATCGAGAAAGACGGGTTGACACTCATGGTGAGGCGGGCGGTGCAAACTGGCTATGGGCTGTGGAGTATGCCTGGTGGATTTGTGGACCGCGGTGAGCGGGTTGAAAGCGCCGCGGCAAGGGAAGTGTGGGAAGAAACCGGTCTGTTGGTACAAGTCCAGCGACTGGTCGGCCTGTTCTCGCAACCTGGGCATGCGGTGGTAGTGGCTGCCTATTCGGCGATCGAAACCGGCGGAGCCCTGGCGGTTGGCCCCGAGTGTCTGGACGTTGATTATTTTAGCGTGGAGAATTTGCCGCCGCTTGCCTTTCCGCGTGACGCAGACATCATCCGGCAATGGCACGCCATGCGCGATGGCGTCAGGTGATCAGTCGTGACGCGGTGGCCCGATCGCCTGAAGACGCTGGATGTATTGCTGGCCCGCGCCGGGCGCAGCCTGGTCAACGCCATTTATCCGTTGGAGTGCGCCGGATGCGGTAGCGCCGGCAAAACCATCTGCGACCGTTGCGCCGCCGAGTTGCCAGTCCTGAAACCGCCTTTCTGCTCCATCTGCGCTGTGCCGGGAGTTGGATCACTGTGCTGGCGGTGCGCCGAAACCCCGCGTCACTTCGACGGCATCCGCGCGCCTTTCCGTCACGCCGGCGTCGTTCGCCGGGCCGTTCACGCGTTCAAATACGAAGGCATACGCGCCGCTGCGCCGCAATTGGGTGGGATGATGGCCGAGTACCTCTCTCGACATCCAATCGCGGCCGATTTGGTAACGCCGGTGCCGATGCACCCTTCCCGTCGGCGCGAACGCGGGTACAACCAGGCCGGTTTGCTGGCCGCGGAGATTGCTCGCGTCAATAACCTCCGATGCGATGCAGATCTGTTGGTCCGAGTGCGAGAGGTAGACCCGCAGGCGCGCACGCCCAGTGGCGCCCAACGTGCCCAAAACGTGGCTTCGAGCGTCGCTTTGTCTGCAGGACGTGACGTTTCCGGTGCGAGCATCCTGCTGGTGGATGATGTGGCCACAACCGGCAGCACAATAGACGTTTGCGCCGCAGCGCTGAAGCAGGCGGGGGCGCGGTCGGTTTGGGGATTGGTGCTGGCGGTGGCCGGCGGGGAATTTGGTACTGAGTAGGATGGAGTCGCCGGGCGAACGCGGTTTGACAACTGCCCGCCCGTCTGCTGAAATGACCCTAACGATCCCCGAATGGACACAACGACACCGGAGGCAAAATCATGGCAGGCAACACTATCGTTTACGTTGGCGCCGAAGCCAGCGGCCTATATCGCAAAACGGCCGGCGAAGCCTACTGGGACTTGCTGACCGATGGGTTGGCTCCCGCTACCCAGGCGCGAGCCATCGCCATTCATCCCAACGATCCCCGCACAATTTTTTGTGGGACGCAGCGGGGCGTGTATCGAAGCACCGACGGAGGAGATCACTGGCAGCGCATGAATATGACCGAGGGTCGGGTGGTCTGGTCGCTGCGGTTTCATCCCAACGATCCCAACATCATGTTCCTGGGCACCGAGGGCGCAGACGTATACAAGAGCGAGGACGGCGGGGAGAACTGGTCGCAGATCGCCACCATTACCAACCCCAGCCAGGTGCAAATGGCTTTTGCCATGCGCATCCTGGGTATCGACATCGAAGCCAACAACCCCAACAATATGTATGCGGCCCTCGAAGTCGGCGGAGCGGCCAACAGCACGGACGGCGGCCATACCTGGACGATTCGCAACAGCGAATTCGCCGGTGACGTTGACCTGCTGGACTTGCACGGCGTGGCAGTTGGCTCCCCCGATTCGAGCACGGTGTTTATCTCGAACCGCACCGGCGTGTGGCGCAGCCGCGACAAGGGAGCATCCTGGCAGGACTGCAACTTCGAACAGTTCTCGGACATCAAATATTCCAGGGGCATAGTGCGCGACCCGTCCAACCCCAACACTCTCTACGCTTGCGTGGGAATGAACTTTGGCAGCGAGCAGGGCGGTGTGATGCGCACGACCAATCTCGGCGATAGCTGGGAACGGTTTGACCAGGGCATCAATGCTGGCAGCACTACCTTCGGGATCGCCGTGAACCGACAAGACCCGGCGCAGGTGTATTTCTGCACCCGCCGCGGCCAGGTGTTCGGCACCCACGACGGCGGAGCCAACTGGACTGCCGACACGTTGCCGGAAACGGCCATGAACGTGATCAGCGTGGCTTGCACGTCGGCATAACGCCAGCCTTAACCACAGAGGCTACCCGGACGGGGCGAAGCAAGCTTCGCCCCGTTTTCATGTCCGCAATAGTTAGGCTATAAATTGAGAGGGGGCCAGTCGATTGACTGGCCCCCTCAGTTCATGCCCGATTACGCTGGCGGCTAATTATCGGCTTTGGGAAGCCAGTCCTGGTTCCAGGGGAACTCGTTGGCGCCGGTTCCGAAAGCAGGCAGTCCCTGGTCGATCCGGTCGCGATAAGGGCTGGTGATGGCTTCGCGGTAGGGGTAGATACCGCCTTCGTAGACCTCGGAGCCTTTCTTGAAATGTAGCGCCTGGTCCATGGTTTCCACGAACGGCATGTTGATGTCGTAGAGCTTGTCTACGGTGCGCGGCCTGGGGCCGGCCTTGGAAACATGCCCGTAAAGCTCGCGCCCTATAATGCGTTCGGCAGCCCACACGCAGTCGATCAGCTTGTCGATGTCGACGCCAGTTGGGATACCCATGCCGTCCATCATGTGCAACAGGTCTTCGGTCGGCGCCATGCCGGTAGGGCGGCCGTTTCCGCAGTAGGGGCAACCGCCGAATCCGCCGATGGTTCCGTCCAGTTCAAGGGTATCCTCGGGGCCCAGCACGCGCATGGCGGCGTAAGCGGATGCAATGGCCATGTTGCGGCCGTTGTGCAGGTGCAGGCGGAAGTGGTTGATTTCAGGCCAGCGCTCTTTCACGCGGCTTACGCTTTCTTCCACTTTGGCTGGCGTGCAGTGGCTCATGGGGTCGCCCATTGAACAGCTGACCACAAAAAAAACCCACCCCCAACCACCCCAAACACCCCAAAAACAACCAAAAAACACCCACTCAAATGACGCCTCTTCCCCACAGGCCGTGCTGGTATTCCAGCAGGGTCATGAGGCTGTCCACTGGAAACTCACCAAGGAGTGGAACCCAGATGCGTTTGTCATCGACTGCCGGTTTCTTTGATGCCCACTTCCTGAGCCTGCGCGATGATTTCGGGCCAGCGCTCCATCTCCTGCATCTGGCTGCGGTTGGTGTTGCGGCGCGCGAACACGTCGCACAGGTGGCAGCTCAAGCGGGGGTATTTGTCACGCTCGATGGTTAGCGGAGGTGAATAGGCACGAGCGCGTTCCACAGCCCTGGAGTTTAGAGCGAGGGCGCTGTAGGTAACGCCGGCTTTGGGCGTGAACCGCTGGACGATCTCGTCGATCCGTTCCATCTGCGGCGTCCATTTGGGACTCACAAACGAACCGACCACTATGCTGGTGAGGCCGGTTTCAGACAGCATATCCAGCAGTTCAATCTTGTCGTCAACGGTTATATGTTGGCGTCTTCAATTTGCATGCCTTCCCGCATGCCTTCTTCTTTATAAGTGACTGTGGGCCATTCCTGTGGCATGGGTTTGCTCCTTGAGCCATTATTGGCAGGTTCGGGATGAAAATGAGGTCATTCCGATTCGCTAATTCCCCGGATCGTAGGGGTCGGTCGCCGGGGTTGTCAAGGAATCGGTGCGTTTATCAGTTCGTACGGTCTGCTGGTGTAGGCCTAGAGCTTGTAGCACCAGCTTGGCGGCCGTGTAACTGTGCGCGGGAGGGCCTTCGTTGGGCGCGAGTTCGCACACGTCAAAACCTACGATGCGGCGTTGCTGGGCGACCCTGCGCAGCAGAGACAGCAAATCCAGCCAACGCATTCCGCCGGGTTCAGGGGTGCCCACGGCTGCCATCTCCGATGGGTCCAGAACATCCAGATCAACGCTGACGTACACTGTGGGGTTCAGTCCGCTTATCACATCGGCGGCATACTCCGGGCTCTGAGGCGGCCAGTAGTAAGATTGTGCACGCCGCCTCTGTGATATGGTCGCGCGCTCTGTCTTCGACGCCAGGTGCGAACGCACCAGCGTACGGGGTAGTGGTCGCGATCGCCCGCGCTGCAGAGCAGTACCCCAACCAGTGCCCTGGTATTCATCCCGTAAGTCAGCGTGGGCGTCGATGTATAACACCGACAGGTTCGGGTGAGTCTCCCCATGGGCCAATGCGGAACCGATTGCCGCCGAGTGGTCGCCACCAATGACGGCGGTGATCTTACCCAGCTTCGAGTAGTGTGCCACCGCTGTTTGTACCCGCTTGGCCATTTGCTGCGGGTCGCCTACGTGGGGTTCAAGGGCGTTCGCAGTGTGGATTCCCAAATCTGCAACGTCAATACCCAGTTCTAGGTCATAGTCTTCCAGCGCTGCTGAGGCCGTAATGATGGCCGACGGGCCATAACGCGCGCCGCTCGGAAG